TAAACTCATCTCGGGGAACGCGTGAGCCTTCTCTTCTGGGTGAGATTCCATTTTCTAGGAGCTGACATGTGTATATGACTGTGACATCTGGCACATTTTCACGAGTGGGATACTTAGTCATCTTGGAAAGAGAGAAGAAATAATTTTAGTGTGAAAGCAATGGGAAAGTAGACGAAAAAGTGTATTAATGCTTTCTCTGAGCCCCTAACTCTCCGTGGTAAGAAGGCAAGTACAGCTGAGTGTGGTCTGTATTACCCTTCTGAGAGGTCAGAGCTTTGATTCCCCCGGCATAAAACTCAATTTTAGGTATATGTAATCTTCACTGTACAAAAGAATTTGCTCTCTGTTCCTTTAATAGGTTTTGTGAGTGTTTTGGGGAGTACATAGAGAAGACTTACTGGAATATAATTTACATGTAATAGTTAATATCTTGACTCCCAAAGTAATCTTTATTTCTGTAACAACACTTCATGGAAACAGTCACTTTAACCTGGGATAAATACATTAATCATCTTAAAATACCCTCCTAGAGAACACATTTCCAGTCAAGAAAACTTTAGCCCTACTCTCTAAGTTATTTCTGAATGGTAGAAGTTTTTTTCAGTAATAAGATATAGTACAATGGAGTAATTAATGTACCAATTCACAGGCCAAATAATTGAATAATCTTTGTGTTATTTTCTTATAAACAGGTTGTACTTCAGGATTTAGATAAAAAAGAAAGTGGATTACGTGATATATTAGCTGTTCTTACTATGAAAAGGTAGGAAATTAAACTACTTGTGCGGTGAAGAAAATTCACTGGGAGGCAACCTATTTCTTGATCCTTCACCCGATTATTTATTAACTTTCATCCTGAAAAATGACTGTATTTGGCAAAGTCTTATCTAAGGTCGTTTGCTTTCTGAGTTTTTATGAACTCACTAATTTGGTTATAATCAATCTAAGTCAGTAATCAGCTGGTCCTTATAAATTTGATACTTTTTTTTTCAGTCAATTTAAAGTTCAGTTTTCTAAGGTTTCAAATGATTAAAATTTCGTGACTACAAAGAGAGTAAGTTTATTTTACTCTGGCCACCAACATTTCTCTAATAAGTGAGTTACTGAATCCTCATTACTGTTTCTCCAATACAAACAGCAATAGCATTGTTTGCAAGTAAATTTTATCAAACTAACATTAGGAACAGCTTGTTCCATCAGCCACACTTGGTTAGACTCTGGACTTCCCAAGCTGGTTTTGCTGTGGCCTATATCTGTGAATGGCCTGATACATCTTGAGTAAAGCCTTAAACTCAAAGTCTTTATCACTGTGGGAAAGTGAATACAGCTTTTTATCTCAGTGATATGAGGACATTTTTAAGAAGAGCCACCTAATGATAGTAAACAGTAACTAAATTCAGACACATGAGGCTGGAGAGACAGCCCAGGGATAACGCTCTTGCCTTGAACATGGCGAACCCTTTCCAGCACCATATAAGGCTCCCTGAGGGACCAGGAGTGACCCCTGAGCACTGCTTGGTATGGCTCCCCAAGAGACAAAACAAAGACCCTGAAAATGCTTATTGTTTCTTAAGACTCCTTTAAGAAAATTATAAATTATCTGTTACTCAGGACCTCAGTTTCTCATGGACTTTCTGTTTATCAATAAGTTTGTGGAACGTGTTTTTTTTATGTTTAGGGACGGATCTTTACATGTGATGTGCACTGATCAGGAGACTGGGAAATGCGAAGCGCTCACCGTTGAGGTGGCATCCTAGTGCGCCTGGAGAAGCCTGGAACTTTCTAGAACTAGAACATCAACATTATTTGGTTTTGTTTATATGTTTATATTAAAATACTTTTGAATGAACTGTATAATGTTTCTAATAAACAATAATTCATTGGTAAGTGTTGTGATCTTTTCTGGTTTTTACTTCAGATTAGTCATGACTGGTGGGAAAGTAAAAGAATTTTTTTGTCATTAAACTAGGATGAAAAGATCTGAGCAGACATTTTACTAGAAATTTGACAGTGTCCTAAATTTTTTGCTTCTCTTCACAAATTACAGTGGGTAGGGTGCTTGCCTTACGTGTGGCCAATCCAGATTCTATCCCAGGCATCATATAAGGTCCCTAGGCCCCCTTAAGGAGTGATCCCTGAGTAGAGCCCTGAGCACCAGAGGTATGACCCCGAAAACAATAAAAAATATATATATATATGTGACAGGACCTCTTTGTGAGAAGACCCTTTCCTTCTCACCAAGGTAATCAGAAAGTAATTACATGAAAGTACATTACTTTCAGTACATTACAGAAAGTTGTTATGGGAGGTCAAAAAGGAAATCCCTCCCAGACGATGTTTAGGTTGAATTTATACATTTTTCTTACATAGTTCAAACTATGAATTTTTCGAGTTTTTCTTATCATAAACAGTTTGCCCATGAAACTAAGATTTTCATAAATATCTTTAATGGCTGGGCTGGAGCCATAGCACAATGGATAGGGCATTTGCTTTGCACCCCACCAACCCGGGTTCGAGTCCTCTGCCCCTCTCAAGAGAGCCCGGTAAGCTACCGGGATTATCCCACCCGCAGGGTAGAGCCTGGCAAACTCCCCGTGAGGTATTCGATATGCTAAAAAACAGTAACAAGTCTCACAATGGAGCTGTTACTGGAGCCCTCTCGAGCAAACCAATGAACAACGGGAGGACTGTGCTACCGTGCAGTGCTCTCTTTAATGAATGGCTAGCCGATCTCATAGTGGGCCCGTTTCCTTCACGCTATGACCAGTATTTCAGATTTTCACGATGGCCAGGCACGTCAGGTTTCTTTGGCTGTTTCCACACTTGGGTAAGCTGCCCACTGGCTTGCCACTGATGCTGTTCTCCCCACTCCGCCAAGACTTGTGTTCTCGAAGGTTGAGCCGATCAGCGTGAACAGGGCGTGTTGGTTGGCGGGTGGAGCCCCACCGTTCAGGAGCGGTCAGGGTGCTGGCCCTGGGCATCCAGCCGGCGTGGAGGCCCCAGACACACCGGATGCAAATTCTATTCTGCGCTCTAACCGGATTCCAAGGGACTGCCCTAAAGGGACCGCTGGGCGCACAAGGCAGCGCTCAGAGCTCCCCTTGGAGGGGGCAGGCTCTCAATTTCCCACGCTCGGGACCCACCTCCGCACTGCGCGATGTCATAGGCAGCAGCCAATCTGCAGAATAAGAGCTCAAGTTTGAGATGAGATCGGGGGAGGGGGGAGAGAGAGGAGAGAGGAAGAGAGAAAGAGCGAAGAGAGAGAAGAGAGAGTTGGTTCGCGGCGCTCAGAAGGAAGAAGCCGGGGGCTGCGAACAGTTTCGGCCCACCGGGCTGCAGCCACCACCGAAGACGCACAAACCACGCACGCCCCTACAGACCCAGAAGCCTCGCAGGCGGCGGCGCATGCGCGTACGAGCGCGCACGCGCGCGCAGGGGCGGAGGGGGCGGGGACTCCGGCGCCGGCACCGCCCACGCCCCGCCCCGGCGCCCGCGCGCCCCGACAGAGCGCAGGCGCGGCGGCGGCCGGGGGCGGGCCCGTGACGTCAGCGCGCCGCCCGCTTCCTGCCCCGGGCCGCCTGCGCGGGCCGGCGGGGGTGGAGCGTCGGGCCAGCTGAGCTATCGGCTCGGACCGCGCCAGTTTGAATGAAAGCTCGCCAAGATGGCGGCGGCCGAGGCGCGAGCGGGGCCGGGCGGGCGGGCGACGCCGCGGCTGGGCAGGCGCAGCCAGGGCAGCTGGGCCGGCCCGGGCCCCGCCGCTGCAGCCGCGCCGCCCGCCGCCGCGCCCCTCGCGCCCCGGCCCGCGCGCCCGCCTCCCGCCCCGGCCCCGCCGCCGCCGCCACCGCCGCCGCCGCCGCGCGTCGTCCTGCGCCCCCCGTGGCCCGGCGCCCGGCGCCCGCCGCGCCCGCGCCCCGCCCGCCCGCCGTGCGCAGGTACTCGGGCGCCCCGGGGCTGCGCTCCTCCGCGGGGGGTTCGAGCCCGCCGGCAGCGTTCCGGCCAGGGGGGCGGCGGGGAGCAAGCGGGGGGCTCAGGGCCGGGCGCCGAGGGGGCCGCGCGCAGCCCGGGCCGCTCACGGTCATCGGGGCGCGCCCGGCCCGCGACTCCCCGGAGAATGTCAGCCCCGGCGGGGAGCCTGGGGAGCTCTCCACGCGCTCCAGAGCGCGGCCGAGTGGGGTCTGTGCGCGCCCGCCCGCGGGCAGGAAGGGTTTCTTAATCACGGTGATCCGGTCCGACCCTCACCCGAGCTCGCAGAGCGGCAACGTGGCCTCTCCGGTCCTCCTTTTTTTCTTTCTTTCTTTCTTTTTTTTTTCACTCCCTCCCCCCCAAAAAAAAGTAAAAGGTGGGGCCGTTCGTGGAGGGTCGCGGCGTCCACCCTCCGGCTCCTGGCGCCTGGCCCGCGGTTCTTAGCGCAGCACACAGCCGTCCACGCCTTGGGGACCCGCTGACGCCCAAGGGTCCAGCACGCGCAGGACGCGGCCCAGAAAGCCCCGGAGTTGGGTTTGTTTGGGTGTTTTTTTGTTTGGTTTCGTTTTGTTTTGTTTTGTTTTTGGTCAAGTCAGTGCCATGGACGCCAGGGGTCGTTTCTCTGCGGCCCTTTTCCTGCCCTCGAGCCAGGAACCTCCCCCCCATCCCCGCCGCCGGCGCCCAGTTTGGGGCTGGGCTGGGCATAGCGGGCAGTGCCCAGGCGGTACGCGCCTTCCGTGGAAGTGACTTGCGAAGCAAAGGTTGCTGACCCAACTACCTTGGAGAGCTACCAAGCGATGCCAGAGCCCGGGCGGGCTGCCGTGGGCGGGCTCCCGTGCCCCTCTAGCCACTCCGGAGAGGACAGCCCCGCTGGACTCGGGTGGCGCGCGCCAGAGGCCGGCACGGGGCGCTGCGTCTTCTTGGCACGCCCCTCGCCGCGGGAGACGGCGAACCAAGCCCGCGCCCTGGGTCTAGAGCATCGTTTTTTTGCGTGTTAACTTTTCACCCGCGATGATGGTCCGTCCGTAGGAATTCGTGGGTCCTGAGCACTGTCAGTGACAGGCTTCTACATAACTAAGGCGTCTGAGTTTCTTCCCGCTTGGTGTAGGGAATCATGTCAACTGAATACTCTGTTTTGTGATTCTTGGCTTTCCAAGCAATACAGGAAGTGAGTGTTGGCAAATAAATACACTCCAGTTGTTGATAGCAATATTCTCGTGAATATTGTGGCTGGGGGTTTATTCACTAACATTCCAGCCCTGGCAGTGTAAGTGGAGTTCAGATTTCATGCCGCATTCCTAAGCTGGGGAGACAGTAGAGAAGGATGAGTATGTGGCTATGGTACTAGACCTCAGTTGGATTTCAGATCTGTAGCAGGAGGAGGAAAAGTTTCATTTGAACAAATCCTATGATTGTACCGTTAAGCAATGTCATAAAGAGATAGTTTAGTAAAATAGCGGTTATGTTGGGGAGCCAAAAGCATTACTTCTGTTGACCTTTCCATCTTTAATCTTAAGCAAATAGTTCAGTATTTCATGGATTTAAAGTTGAAGCACTTTAAGTGGCTTAGAAGACATTGACATCAGTTCAGCATAGGTGAGAGGCTGAGGAGAAAGTTCAACACATTTTACTAATGCAGTGTTTTTAATGCCTAACTTTTCTTGTCATTAGTTTTCAGTTCTATAAAATTGCCAGTTGAAGGGTGGGGACATAGAGGTCTTAAGTTTTTCCTTTTTTTGTTGTTGTTGTTGGTTTGTCTTGTTTTAATTGAGTAGCTATTTCATTAGTAAAGAATTCTATTTTCTTATTGTAGCTTGGTGTGTGCCTTGCCTAGTTTCACTTGATACTCTTCAGGAATTATGTAGAAAAGAAAAGCTCACATGTAAATCGATCGGAATCACCAAAAGGAATCTAAACAATTATGAGGTGGAGTACTTGTGTGACTACAAGGTAGTAAAGGTAAGGCAAATACCTAGTCCCTTAAAAGAGAATTAGACTTCAGTGTTTCCTATTTCTGTAACTTAAACAGATAAGCACAGCTTTCCTTAATGTTTAAAATTCTAAACCTCATTTATATGCCCTGTCATCTTTATTGCCAAATGACATTGAGAGGATTTTTGAGGCATAAAATGTTCTTGCTTTAGGGTATTTGAGGGTGCTTTTATTCTACCTCTTGACTATTGCCATGTGGATTACCAGAGTGAATGTTTTTTCACAGATTGGCTTCTCCTGGCAGTTATGTTCCTGAATTACATTTGCCCCACTATTAACAAAAACCAACTTAGAAATTCAAGTTTGATAGTACTGAATCGCCAACCTTAGCTATGCGCATGTTTTCCAGTGGGACCAGGTGGCTGGAGTTCCAACTCACTTCTAGCTTCCTTGTGGCTTGTAACTGTAACAGGGTCCAACTCACTCTGCCTTCCTTGTGGCTTGTAACTGTAACAGCGTCCTGTATCTTCTCTCCTTCCACTCTCTTCCCAGTCCCCTTTCCAAAGACAGATGTTCTTCTAAGAAATGTTTTGGATCCAAATCTTAAGGCTAGCCTGTCTTTCCTCCCAGACACTGCCTGCAGGGGTTGTTCCCTTTCCCTGCAGGGTTGACCCATTGGGTTCTGCCCACAGGAATGACACTCCAGCCTTGACCTTCGTCATTGAGCCACGTCCCGGCCCTTTGACACTTGGTCACCTTCCTTCTGATTCCTGTCAGCAGTTTGCTTGCCTTTCCTTCCTTTTCAAGACCTCGTCCCCTTTCTTCACCTCTCATTCTTATCTGATATCCTCCTCTCCTTCAGTGAAAACTAGGATCCTGCCGTACAAGCTCCCTCTATCCTCCTTCTGACTTTCAGGGGTGTTATCTCCCCCCCCCCTTTTTGTCATCCTCCCTCAGTCGTAGCTTACTCTGCAGTGCCAGCTTTGTTATCAAAAACTATTCCTGCTGGTTTATCTCAGTCAGAAACCTTTGCAGCTCCTTCCTAACTTAATGAAATTGTTCACCTGACTCTGCCACACAGCAGTTATTTCTGTCTTTTCCGATTTCATTTCTCAGTAACTTCTCTGTGTATTTTTTCTTTGGGGGGGGGGTCACACCTGGCTGTGCTCAGGTCTTATTCCTGGCTCTGCCCAGGGATCACTCTTGGCAGTGCTTGGGGGACCATATCGGGTGCTGGGGGTGAAACCCAGTTGGCTGCATGCAAGACCAGTTTCTTAGCCCTTGTACCATCTATTTGAAAACAGCTTTATTGAGGCTAATGTGTGGACTGTACAGTTTGTCCACTGCAAAGTTTGTAATGTACTCTCAGCGTTGCGCAGCCTTCCTCACAAGAAATGTTAAAGAACATTTTTCTTTCCCTCAAAAAGCAGCCTTGCCTTTCTTAGCTGTCCCTCCCACACCTGCCCACTCATCTCCGGCCCTGACGATGGTGATCACCATCTGCTTTCTCTCTCCCTCCCTATTTGGCAGTCAGTCACCTGATGGAAGCATATGAGCTGGACGTGGGCTTTGGTGAATGTGATTGGCTTCCTTCTCTGAGCGTGCTGTGTTCACAGAGGTCCATCTGTGTGGCGCATGCAGCACTGCCCCGTTCCTTCCTCTTGCTAAGGACTCCATTGTTTGGGCTTTCCCAGCTAAATCACCACTCAGTGGATATTTGGGTTGCTTCCGTTTGGAGGTTGCTGTTAATGCACTTGTGAGTATTCCTGTACCACTTTTGGTGGGCACGTGTATTCATGTCTCTTGGGTATATCAGGGACATGAAGCTCACTCTGCCCTATCTGTTCCTTTTCTTTGTATTGCCGTGTGCCAGACGAGTGAGCCCTTCTACTATTTGTCCTTCTCCCTCTGACTTCATTTCACCCAATATGATGCCGTACAGTTCCATCCCAAATACAGCAGACTGCAAGATTTCCTGTTTCCTGGTGGCTGCATAAAATATGCCACTGTTGTTGCAGCAAGCTGCAAGATTGCATCTTATTTAGGTGTGGTTGGGACATTGGTGATCGGGACACAGCCAGTGGTGCTCAGGGGACTATTCCTGGCTCTGTGCTCAGGGCCATAGTGATTCTGGGAGTCAAATCAGGGTTGGCGGCATGCATACACACCTTCTTGTACTGTCTTCCCAGCTTCCCAGTTTTTGTGGGCATGTAATGTACCTTATCTTCTTTCCCCCGGTCATTCGTTGTTAGACATCGTGTTGTTTCCGTGTCCTGGCTCTTGTACTTAATGCTGCAGTGAACGTAGCTGTGCATGTGTCTTTGCCAGTTTAGTGTTCAAGTGGTATTGCTGGATCCTCTGGAAGCTTCCAGCCTTTTAAAGAAATCTCCATCCCATTTTCTCTAGCGGCTGAGCCAGATCACATGCCCACTGGTGGTGAATGAGAGAGAGTTCCTTTTTCACCACGTCCCAGCCAACCCTGGTTTCTAATTGTGCAGAAAGAGGGAGGTTGAACCTCACCTAGCGATGCTATGACAGTTCTGTGCTCGGGAAGACCTACCAGTGCTGGAAATTGAACTGGGGTAGGCTGCATCCAGTGGGCTAGCCCCTACACTCACTCTCTAGAGTGTCTTCAAGCTTTTTTTAATGTATGCTACTTTCATTGGTGCGAGATGGAAGTGAACACTAGGCAAGGATCTTGTTCATCTCACCACCTTTTTGGCAGGGACGGGGGGCATAGTCCACACCCACTGGTGCTCAGGACTTACTCTTGGCTCTGTGCTGAGGTATTACTCCTGGTGGGGATCAAATGGGGTGTTAGGGATCAAACCTGGTTTGTCACATGCAAGGTTAGAGTCCCATCCACTGCTCCAGCCCCTCTCCCGGTCTTTGATGAGATTATTGATTTTTTTTTCCCCACCTGTTGAGTTTAGTGAGTTCTTATCACATCTTGACTATTAGGCCTGATCTATGATTTTAAGTATTTTCTCCCATTCAGTAGGATATCTTTATTTTTGCTCATGCAAAAACGTTTTGTTTGTCGCCCCAATTTATTTTGGGTTTTAATCTTTGCCAGTGGAGTCGGGATCATTGAAGACACCCCTGAGGTCTGTATCTTGGAGAGATTTGCCTATTTTCCTCAGTGTATTATTTGGATCCTGGTCTAATCTTGAGGTCTTCAATCCGCTTTGAATTAAAGTTGATGCACAGCATGAGCTTCGAGTCCAGTGTCATTTCCTGCACGCAGTCATCCAGTTGTCAGCCTTCCCAGGGAGGCGGATCTTTGCTCGTTTCATGCTCCCAGTTCCTCCGAGGCTGTTCTCTGGGCTCTTGGGTCTGTCCCCTTAGTCTGAAGTGCTGCTTCAGTGCCACCTTTTTGATAAATAATAATACTGTGATGTATTTGTCTTCAGTTTAGGGTCCACACCGAACAGGGGCTTACCCTGACTCTGTTCAGGAGTCACTCCTGGAGGTGCTTGGGGGAGAACCATCTGGGGTCAGATTGGGGCCGGCCACGTGCACAGCAAGTGCCTGAAGCCTATATTAGCCCCCTGCCTGTAGTAGAATTCCTCGTCAGGGAATGCATTACCTCCCATCTCTTCTCAGAACTGCTTTGACTCTTCAGGGAAATTTATGATTCAGTGTATTTAGAATATCATTGTTTTTGTTTTTTTCTTTGTTTGTAATGGGAATTGCATTGAGTCTGTGTAAAGCTTTGGATAGGATGGTTATTTTGACATTATTCTTCAGTCCATGAACATCAAATATTTTTCTATTTCCTGGTGCCCTGTTTCTTTCAATAGTGACAATAGTTTTTTTGTGTATAAATTTTCCATGCACTTTAAGTAGATATCATATTTTCTAATCATTTTGAAACCTAGTCGTGAATAACGTTTTAATCCACAGTGACTAAATTTAAAGATGAATCTGGGGGCATCAGAGAGAGCACGGCAGGAGGGCATTTTTCTTGCGCATGGTCTGCTCGGGTATGACCTCAGACTGTGCGTATGGCCCTCTGAGCACATCCAGGAGTAATTTCTGAATGCAGAGCCAGGAGTAAGCCCTGAGCTTTCTCGACGGGCGTGACCTAAAAAACAAACAAAAAAAAGTTTTTAAGTATTAAATCAATATTTCCTTTCTTACTATAAAAGCAGTATTATTTTTACACGTCAAATTTTTTTCCTTTAATTTTAATTTGTTTGGTTGGGGGCCACACCCAGCCGTGCTCAGAGCTTACTCTTGGTTCTGCACTCAGGAATCACTCCCAGCAGGCTTAGGGGACCATGTGAGGTGACTGGTATCGAACTCAGGTCAACCACATGCAAGACAGTCATCCTATTTGATGTATTATCTATCAGTCTGGCCCCAGAGCTTCCCCTTTAAACTTTAATTCTCTTCACTTTAATTAGATTTTACATTTGTAGTCTTTATATCTGTTTTATGTAAACTCAAAAATATATAGCACAAAATTTTAGAAAAACTTTATTAATGACATTATTACCACAAAAAGACCTACCTAAGTACAAAAAAAAAATTAATGCAATACGTTTTAGGTACCTGAGTTGAAAACTTACTTATGTAAATGAGAATAGGCATTAAATATTGTATTAAATGATTTGAATTTATTTACATAAGTTAATATAGCAGTCAGTCATCACAAATTGACCATTATTGATTTACTTTCTGATAATTCCTTTTTACCACTACTTTTTTTGTTGTAGCAAGCAATATGAAATAAATTTGTTGGATGTCTGCCAAGGTGGCAGGCTGGGGGGTAGGAGAAATTCTGGGGATATTAGTGGAGGAGAGGTCACCCTGATGGTGGGATTGGCGTTGGAACATTGTATGCCTGTAATAACTGATATGAACAACTCTGTAAATCTTGGTGCTTTAATAAGAATAAAGTTAAACAGATGTAGTTCACATTCTAATTCCTTGAATACACAGACACCTGTGTACTGTTTCCCCTGTCCCCCATTTACCCCTAAGAGGGCATGTGGTGGGGCAGGAGGTCAGATTTAGGGGTTTATCAGCATGTCATTAGAAATGTTGGAATGCTGGGCCTGGAGCAACAGTACAGCAGGGAGGGCATTTGCCCCGGGTTTGATCCCCAGCACCCCATATGGTCCTCTTGAGCCTGCTGGGAGTAGTTCCTAAATGCAGAGCCAGGAGTAGTCCCTGCCTGAGCATTGCCTCCCCCCACCCCCCAAAAAAAGCCAAAAATAAATTAAAATGTTAGAATGACGAGGTCAGAAAGCTTTTTAAGCAGGAATTTCTTTTGCTATGGCGGTGCTGGGGCTGGCACCCAGGGTTTTGTACATGTTGCCGTGCTGCTGAGCTGTGTCCTGCTCCAGGCTGGCTCTGAAATGCCATTCGAATGTCCTAACCATCATATGCCCTTGACCCAAGATAGCACATATGCCATTCTTGTTGCAGGGAACTTGGTAACTTGAGATTTTCCAGAGATGAGCCTGTTGGTATGAAGGGGCTGAGGCTGAGCTCTGTGGCCTCAGGGATGGACAGGCCTGTCTGTCGAGAAGCCGCAGAAGGAACCAGAGGGAAAAGTAAGAGCAGGCCCGGGGTTTGTCTGAGCAACTAGGAAAGAGCTAGAATGTTGTCCCTAAGGAACTCGGCATCAAATGGTTTGGTCCTCCATGGAGCCTCCCACAGCTGCAGAGTTGTAAAGCTTGTCTGTCTGCAGACTGAGAAACCTTGGCCAGTGCTTTGGTGGTGGCCTAAAATTGGCTCTTTTTTTTTTTTAATTGGGGGGAGGGGGGTCACACCCGGTGATGCACAGGGGTTACTCCTGGCTCTGAACTCAGGAATTAGCCCCGGCAGTGCTCAGGGGACCATATGGGATGCTGGGAATCGAACCCAGGTCAGCTGCGTACAAGGCAAATGCCCTACCCGCTGTGCTATCGCTCCAGCCCCCTAAAGTTGGCTCTTGCCCTTCGTCTTCTCTCAGTTCATAGTCTGAACCTTAACACTAGGCAGGCCCCTGTGTCCTCTTGCCTGACCAGTGCTGAGATATTCCCCCAAGTTGTGCGTGCTTCCCAGCCCGCCTCCCACCCCCTACCCAGTGCCTTTTGTTCCCTGCCCAGTGCCTCAGTGCCCTGCCCAACACGACCCATCAGTCTCTAGCAGCGTGGTTCCTTCTGGTCCTCTAACTATACTGAGTTCCCTCGTTGGCATCCAGTGGGATTTACTGTCCCACCCTTTTGGGCCTTTGCAAATGAACCACCTTGCGTTGCTTCCTCCTGCGTTTTTCCCAGTGAAGTTTCCCTCCTAACTGCTAATAGATAGCCGCTGGTGACTAAGATTAATTATTCTGGAGAGGAAAGATGAATGGGTTTCATCTCCACCAGAGTGGGGGCCAGCATGCCTTTAAGAGAAACTCTAATGACGCATCCCTAATAGTACAGGAGTGATTTATGTATCATTTTCATGACTGTATTCCATTTTTTATGGGTAATCAAGAGTTGATGGCATTTCAAAAAGATGCATGGATATAGGAGGCTTACATACTTTATGACTTTGATTTGAATTTTAGGGCATTGAATTCATTAAGACAGAAATTATTTTTCCTATTTCTTCTTCCAAATAGAAATAATGGGAGGTGGTGTTGGGCCACACCCGACACTGTTAAAGACTTTCTCCTGGTTCTGTGCTCCTGGCGGTCCTTGGAGGCCGATATAGAGTTTAAAAAGTGCTTGTTCTGTGTGCTGCTGACCCCAGATCAATGCCGAGCAAGCACTTTAACTCTAAACTATCTTTCTGGCCCCCACTTTATGGGATTTTAAAATAAAATATGGGCCAGGGATGTTTGTCACTGGTAGAGTGTGTGCTTCTCATGTGAGGCTCAAGGCTCAGTCCCCAGTCACACACATAAAATAATAAAAATAGGATATGCTTAATGTAAAAAATCTACAAGGTAGAAAAATCAGTGTTGCTGCACTTTTGCTCATGTACTCGTGTTTGGCATCTGCCTTCTGTAGGTATCAAAGTGATCAGCAGCATACCTAGTCACTCTAAATGCGAATGACTCACGTTAAATGATACAAGACATTATTTTAGAAGCAAATTTAGGTGACATTGTGTTTAATTTTGCTTAATGATAGTTTGGCTTCATGGTCTGACTCTTGAGGCCAGTGTGTCTGTTTCACTGTTTGCTGGCAGCTTTTTTTTTTTTTAATTAATTTATTTATTTAATTGAACCACCATGAGATAGTTAACAAGCTTTCGTGTTTGGGTTACAATCACACAATGATCAAACACCCATCCCTCCACCAGTGCACATTCCCCACCACCAATATCCCCGGCATACCCCCTTTCCCATCCTCACCCTGCCTCCATGGCAGACATTATCCCCCATAATCTCTCTCTACTTTGAGGCATTATGGTTTGCAGTACAGACACTGAGAGGTTATCATGTTTGGTCCTTCATCTACTTTCTGCCCACATCTCCCATCCCGACCAATTCCTCCAGTCATCATTTTCTTAGTGACCCCTTCTCTATTCCAGCTGTCTTCTCCCCTTTACTCATGAGGCAGGCTTTGCTGGCAGCTTTTTATGTAACCCAGGGCTACGGTCAAAAACTGCAGAACAGAACCAAACGAACAGAGTTGTACTACTGTGCAACCGAATCAGAAAAAATAAAATCCTACAGGGTAGGGGAATCAGTACTTTAGATACGGTAAGTTGGTTCCTTTGTGGAGCAGATACCTGGTAGTAATTCCAGACTATAGCAGTTCCCCACAGGACAGAGAAATCCATATCACACCTTCGCTAGTTGGACGGATTCTGGGTGCTTAGAGGCTTGTGTGCGCTGGATCTCGAGATGTCATTCACGCAGGCACCATTGTGAGGAATCCTCTTCCTCACACAGTCAAGGAAGTACAATTTTTTTTAAATAGAAAATACTGTACACACTTTTCATCAAGTGCTCATAACTCACAAGCACTGACCAGAGCAGAGCAGCAGCCTGGGCTGAGGGGGTGCGTCTCTGTGTTCCTCAGACGGCTATTTAACGCAGTGTTGCTGCCATGGCCTGGACTTCCCAGCCCCTGCAACGGTAATAATCACTGACCTGTGCAAACAGCACTCAGTGTCCTAATTTCATCACAGATGCATTTCAGGGAAAAGGAAGTACGTCCCAAGTAAGTTGGATCATAGCACAGTGGGTAGGGCGTTTGCCTTGCACGCAGCCAACATGGCCAACCCGAGTTTGATTCCTCTGCCCCTCTCGGAGAGCCCAGCAAGCTACCGAGACTATCTCCCCCGCACAGCAGAGCCTGGCAAGCTACCTGTGACATATTCGATATGTCAAACACAGTAACAAGTCTCACAATGTTACTGGGCCCCTTTGAGCAAATCGATGAACAACAGGAGGACAGTGACAGTGACCTAGAACATGGATTGGTTGCTTTTCTTTTGCAGAAGGAATTTTGTCCTTGAGCACATAGATCTATTATTCCAGGCCACGGGAAAAACTGAGACTGTAGTTCCCTGTTTCTTATTTTGCACCCTTGACTGCCTTGTTAAGAGAAACTTGCCTTGGCATTGCCTCAGGGGGGGGAAATTCTAGTCAAGTTGAGGACAGAGGAAGACAAGGGTCCAGGCCCAGAGAGGCCCTCAGCAGGCTGCAGACTAATTCATTCAGGGCTTGAATACCGACTGCCAGCCTGAATCCAGTTTTCATAGGGATGATTCAAATTTTCTTAATCACATTAAACAAAGTAAAAAGAAACAGGTGAAATTTCTTTCCATAACTGTAACACTGTAGCCCTGTCTTCCTGCTGTTCATGGATTTGCTCAAGAGGGAACCAGTAACGTCTCCATTGTGAGACTTGTTACTGTTTTTGGCATATGGAATATGCCACGGGGAGCTTGCCAGGCTTTGCTGTGAGGGCGGGATACTCTCAGTAGCTTGCCAGGCTCTCCTAGAGGGGCGGAGAAATCGAGCCCAGGTTGGCCTCGTGCAAGACACAGTGCCCCACCCGCTGTCCCGTTGCTCCAGCCTGCCTTCCATAACATGTTTAATAATCCCAAATAGGTTTCTCAACATATAATCAGAGTTTTTGTTGTGTTTTGAAGTTAAGATAGTTTACTCTTGTGCTGAGCTTTGAGATTCGGGGTTTTTCAGAGAAAGCACACCTGAGTTCTCATTAACGCGCATTGGCGGTGTCTGGCGGGTACGTTCCAGGAGGAAGGACTGTATTAGACAGTGTTTCTAGAGTATCCAGGGACAAATATCTTCAGGATAAACTAGCTTCTCTTTGTGTCCATGGTCCTGGAGCAGCTTAGAGAATGCTGGCCTCAATCTAAGTCCCTAACCTAGGTCATAAATAGATCTTTTGGACCTAGGGGTTTAACTCAGTGGTAGAATACATGCCCTGTTAGATCCCCAATACCACTGAAAAAAAGAAACTCCCTTAATCAGTTTAACCACTGGTAAAATACTAATGAATCAGCATCTTTTATCTTTCCTCAGATATAACTCTTACTTATCTTATAAGAAACATGATACCCCATCTGAATACTGTGCCTATTTTATGGTGATATAAAGGGAAAAAAATTTTAATTCCTCTTCTAAATTCCTTTAACTATCATCCTGGAATATATTAAGAGAAATGATAATCCTGATTTAAGGTGTTAATTCTAAGTAACTAGGGCTGTCATCTGATTTGCATTTTCTTTTTCTATTTTAAGGATATGGAATATTATCTTGTAAAATGGAAAGGATGGCCAGATTCTACAAATACTTGGGAACCTTTGCAAAATCTCAAGTGCCCGTTACTACTTCAGCAGTTCTCTAATGACATGCATAATTATTTATCTCGGGTAAAGAAAGGCAAAGTAATAACTCTAAAAGACAAAGCTCTGAGGCCAGCCATTGCTGAATATGTTGTAAAGAAGGCTAAACAGAGGATAGCTTTGCAGAGATGGCAAGATGAACTCAACAGAAGAAAGAATCATAAAGGAATGATTTTTGTTGAAAATACTGTTGACTTAGAGGGCCCACCTTCAGACTTCTACTACATTAATGAATATAAACCAGCTCCTGGAATCAGCCTAGTAAATGAAGTGACCTTTGGGTGTTCGTGCACAGATTGCTTCTTTGAGAAGTGCTGTCCTGCCGAAGCTGGAGTTCTTTTGGCTTATAATAAAAACCAACAGATTAAAATCCCGCCTGGTACTCCCATTTATGAATGCAACTCAAGGTGTCAGTGTGGACCAGACTGTCCCAACAGGATTGTACAGAAAGGCACACCATATTCACTGTGCATTTTCCGAACTAGCAATGGCTGTGGCTGGGGTGTCAAGACGCTTGTGAAGATTAAAAGAATGAGTTTCGTCATGGAGTATGTTGGAGAGGTAAGTTCAGTGTAATGCATAGCAAATCCTGTGCATTTGAGGCTTATGCTTTTGAAAAATACCCTTTTCCCCTCAGTAACATGGGATCTCTTTTGGCGCTGGAGCAATAGCACAGCGGGGGCAGGGGGCTTTTGCCTTGCACGCGGCCGACCCGGGTTCGATTCCCAGCATCCCGTATGGTTCCCCGAGCACCACCAGGAGTAATCCCTGAGTGCAGAACCAGGAGTAACCCCTGTGCATCGCCGGGTGTGACCCAAAAAAGAAGAAAAAAAGGGATCTATTTTGATACTCACTTGTGGATTTATAGGAATTTCAGTTTTGAGAGAAAGGTACTCTGGCAGAGGGTAGCTATAGAAACAAGAAGTGCACGTAATAACAGTTGAAACTTACAGTCATCTTTCAATGAACAGTCGTTAAAACTGACAATTTGTAACTTTGAAAAACATGAAGTGGTTTTTATATAAAAAGTCTTAAGATCAGATCTAAACACTTGCCAACTTTGAGACTTATAAATTGTAAAGAACCCATTTGACCCAAGATGGGCAAATGTAGTTGACAGGACTCAATTTTATATCAACATGAAAGATAATGAAAGTAAAGCAATTTGTTGTAGTTTCTGTATTGTTAGGTATGCATAGAAGCAATTATTTTATTCACAAGGAAATACAAATTTTACTTAATACTTTTAAAATACAAATAGCACATGTATATTAATGGTATTTCTCATGTATCACGTTGCTATTCTATGTGTGCTTTTTGTATTGACTCATTAAGTCAACAACTCTCTGAGCTGGGACTGCTGTCTCCATGGTCACCTAGTAGGAGACTAAAGCAATCCGAGACCAGATAGGTGTAAGGAGAGTCTTGATTTGAACCCAAGTCTGCCCTCTGCCAGTCTACCTTTATTCCATCTGCTCTCAAACTGAGACTAGAAAAACAAAAGTGAGACTACATATTGAGGGCCCCCAAATCTGACTGATGGTAAAAGTTGTTGTTGAGGTTAAATTGGTCTTTGTTCGTTTAAGAGAATGGCAGTATTAAAACATCATTGTTCAGGGCAATTTCTCTAGGTATGTGAAGGTGTTGGTGCCATCTGAACGTGAACATAGCAATATAATCTAGATACTATATAATCAAACTAACCTTGTGGGGTATTAGAGAAGAACATTCCCCTTTTGGGTTTATAACAGCAGCTAAATTTTTTGACACCATGAGTCACATTAATTTTTGGTTTCTTGTTTGGTTTGAACGCCTTGCTCAAGGGTTAACTCCTGGCTCTGTGATGAGTATTTAGGGGACCACGTATGGTGCCAAGAATCGAAACACAGCAGGCTGTGTGCAAGGCAGGCTCCTTAACCCTGATACTATGTCTTTGGCCCCTAATGTTTTGTTAAGGTGAGCATTTGGTAACGTGTGCATAAGGGCAGAAACTGTAGGTGATGGTTTTAAGCTACAGAATTTCATGAAAACCTGTTCTACAAAACTAAACTTTCCATACAGTCAACAGCAAACCGAACAGACCTTTCCTCCTGTGCAAGAGCACAGGGGAAATGTGCCTGCAGAGCAGAGCTTCCCAAACTTACTTGGGCTACAGGGGGGAAAAAGGAAAAAACTCCACTTCCTTCTGGAAACCTGCCTTTTCTTTAAGGGAAGTAAAACACCCCCCTAATTGTACTCCCAGCCCCCCGACCCCTGGAGTGACACTGTGCTAGGTCACTTACTCGGGGAAGTAAGAGTGCTGCGTGTTCCGTCATTTCCAGCAGAGCTCTGAGGCCTTAGTGAATTATGAGAGTAAAACACTGTCTGAACGGTGTCTTCATCCCCCTGCACCATCGTCGTGCCTCTAGTACTTGCTCCCACCTCTGTCTTTTCTAGTTGTGTGCCGGTTTTGGTGACAGCTGAATGTGCCTGTAGCAATATGGTAATGACAGACTCGTTGACGGGCGAGTTAAGCTCACGGGTCCCAGCCCCGCAACAGCTCTATGATATACTGTAGTTGTCTCTTTCTAGGTAATCACAAGCGAAGAAGCTGAAAGACGTGGGCAGTTGTATGACAATAGAGGAATCACATACCTCTTTGACCTGGACTATGAATCTGACGAATTCACAGTGGATGCAGCTCGATACGGAAATGTGTCTCATTTTGTGAACCACAGTGTAAGAAATACTAAATTAGACCGAACACGTCATTGAAATCAGTACTCTTTTTAGTGATTTTTTTTCGATCGTTGAAGAATCACTGTCTTTAAACTACTTACCTTTCCAACATTTCCAAAGTATTTTCATCTGGGAGTCTCTTTAATTAAGTCATAGTACTGCTGTGTAAGGAAACTTTTCAGATGCCGGCCAAATACATTTTGCAAGAATCTTTCAAATAATCGAGACTTTCAAGCAACTTTACAAGAGATGTATTTCTCCTTACATAGAGGAGGAAATTAATGAGCCAAGGAATTCAATAAAGTTTAAACATCACAGCTAGGGCAGGAACCATAGTGCGGCAGGTGGGGCATTTGCCTGGCATGAGGCCCACTGGAGTTCAGTCCATCTCTGGCATCCCACATGGTCCTCTGACTCTGCAGGGGTCAGCCAAAAGTAAATCTTGAGCACCACCAGGTTTCGCCAAAAAAAAAAATTTTTTTAAAGATAAAATTTGAACTGGAAATATAGTCTAGCGGGGCCAGGGGGCTTGCTCTTCGTGAGACCAACCCAGGCTTGATCCTGGCACCCCCTAGGGTTCCCCGAGCACCACCAGGAGTGGCCCAGAAACAACCATCCCCAAAAAGCAATCACAGTTGTATCAGTTCTTAGAGAAGATCATAGCTAATTTTAGGTTTATTCGATATGCCAAAAACAGTACCAAGAACAGGTCTCATTCGCCTGATCCTGAAAGAGCCTCCAATATGGCAGCGTTTGGGAAAGACAAGTAAGGAGAGGCTGCTAAAATCTCAGGGCTGGGACGAATGGAGATGTTACTGGTGTCCACTCGAGTAAATCGATAAAGAACGGGATGACAGTGATACAGTGATAACTGATTTTAATTTGTGTCACTTCTCAAAATGTGAATATGTTAGCGTTTTAATGAAATTTAACAATGCATAGGAAATTGAAGTACTTAGGGAGTTCTTTTTTCCCCTAAAGTACAAATCAGCATTTTTCCTTAGTTTTAATTCATGTTTGAAAAGAACAAAGAATATCTAGAATTTCATACTCTTAAGATTTGAAAGGCTGGGCTGGGATTGTCTCGCGGCAGGGCGCCTGGCTCCTGGATACGGGCCAGAGGTACAGTGATGTGGGCAGCCACTGACAGTGGAAAGGTAATACTAGATTTGTGAAAATGACATTAGCTCCACTTTATAAATGACAAGGAAATTGTGTGTCATTAGTACATTACATACCTGACCAGCCCAAAAAATAGACCATGTTAAACTTTCGATGGGTCTTTGTTTAAAGAAACTGGTTTGATTCAAATGAGTAAAATGTAAGAGACATTTTGATTCCTTTTTTTTTTTTCTGATGTACTTTTACCTTTTTTCCCCCCTTCAGTGATAAATCTGAGATATTCCTCAGAATAGACATTCTTTTAAGGGTAATCAAACCCTTTTCATTTCTGAGTCACTAGTTTTTGTCTATTCCAACTTAATGTAGTTTCAAAATATCAAAATGTTCTAAGCAAGTTTGAGCAACAAAATCCATCGGTATGAAATTTTGGGTTTTGTAGTGCTGACTTTTTTTTTTTTAGTACAGTTATTCTGGTTTTGTAGTATACCTTGGAGAAATGCTTACAAGTAAGTGATACCTGAGATTTGTATTAAAGCTCTCCAGAACATTGTGAAGTTAGAGCTAGGGCCAGAAAAAGGGTGCTGTGGGTAGGGTGTTTGTCTTGCTTGTGGCCGTCCCGGGCTCGATCTCCAGCACCACATACGGTCCTCCGAGCACTATCAGGATTGATCCTTGAGCAGAGCGTCAGGAGTAAGCTCCGAGCACAACTGGCTCTGACACATCCCATCCCCACTAAAAAAAGAAAAAGTTGTAACTAGGTGAAATAAGATAGGCAGAAATACTAATAACTGTTAAAGCTACCTGTGGGCAATGCATTTATTGTAATTCAGTTCTTTAGAGTTACAATTATCTGAAATTTCCTGTAAGTGAAAGTATTTTATGTGTGCCTGCTCTTACTGTTTGTGCAACAGTAAAACCATAAGCAATTTAATTTTTTTTTTCTTTTTGAGAAATACCTGGGGATGCTCAGAGATTACTCCTGGCATGCCTAGGGGCCCATATGGAGTGCCGGGGATCGAACCCAGGTCAGCCATGTGCAAGGCAAACGCCCTCCCCACTCTCCTGTCACTCCGGCCCCAGCAGTTTGATTTTGACTAGAACTTATTTGTCTGATGATCTTTTTGAACTATGGCATGTCGAAGAGTTTGTTCATCGGTTTTACTGACTATGGTTCTAATTTCCTTTTTAGTGTGATCCAAATCTTCAGGTATTCAATGTTTTCATCGATAACCTCGATACACGTCTTCCCCGAATAGCATTATTTTCCACAAGGACCATAAATGCTGGAGAAGAGCTGACTTTTGATTATCAGATGAAAGGTAGAGTACCCAGTATGGTTTCTTGGGCGGTACTGTCTCCGTGTGAAATGGCTTAATTTCTTTATATATGTGAAAGGAATTCGGTCTCCTTAGCTAACTTGTTACACTGGTCCTGTATATGAATACAGAGCTACTGTAAAACTGATGGCAGTTTTAAAACTCCTTCTGAATTGGCTTAACCCTTTCTTCTGCATTCCTTTTTCCGTATTCAGGTTCTGGAGATATATCTTCAGATTCTATCGACCACAGCCCAGCCAGAAAGAGACTCAGAACTGTGTGTAAATGCGGGGCTGTGACCTGCAGAGGCTACCTCAACTGACACTTCAGGAAATGCTACTGACGTTAACGAACAGCCTATGATATTTGAGACTCTTCCTCTTATCAAGACCACATGCAACGTTAATTTATAGTTCATGTGTCTCATTATTGGCCAAATATATTTCTGATGCTTCTGGAAAAGAAAAAACAGGCCCCCCGAGGTGACAGAATATATGTATCAGGTGTTAGCCTGGAAGGAAAGCAATTTTTAGATCAATATATACGTAAGCCTGTGTGAATAGAGGAAAGTCTCTCTCAGTGTTTTAAGTGGTAAACTGATAGTGTAGCTGTTGCTACAGTCAGTCATGCTATATACCCTGAATTTAGAGAAGCAGAGTTCATTCAGTTTGGGCAGCTAGCCAAGTTCTACTTTTTTGTTGTTGTATTATCATTCCTGTTTACTTAACTATTCACGATGCTTACATTTGAGACAAATAAGCAATACTGAATTATACTCTATTTTTTTTTTTGCTTTCATTGAAACATTGAGTTCTTAATTATACAGAAATTAAACACACAATATTACAAATGTAATTACAACTTGATTTCATATTTTGAAGCAGTGCAGATTATTATAAGGGGTGTATGCCTGAGCCAGTTTTCTTAAAGTTTTAATTAATGTTTTTAAATAAGAGAAAATTCTCCAGAAAGCATGGACAGTTGTAAAGCTGCCTTGGAAGGTCGGGTACAGTGGGGCTCTGGAGGGTTTTGAGGGCCAGGCATTTAGGACGTATATGTTCAGGCCTGTCAGCAAGCAGATCTCTGTGGGATAATTAAGTTGCAAACACTAAAAATGACATACCCCTTGAGAGCTAGCTATAACATTTCACATTTCACATGAACATTACAGCTTTTATATTTCAGGCTGTTTTAACAGTTCCTCTTCGCCAAACTTAATGATATTACCTACAAAGCCATTTAAAAAAAATCTCTGTTTTGAGCTGGTATTTTGTACATACATGAATCTTTTTACATGTTATAAAGTTAACTTTACATGGGCAAAGTTTGTGCCTGATTTAGGAGCCCATTTATTACTTGAAGTAAAAAGACTGAAATAGAATATAGTCACTGTCTCCCCTCCACCACTTACTGCCTGCCCTCCCCCTCCAACATACCCGCATAGTAAAACTTCAATCAGGAAAAACTATGTTTCATCTCCTTCTGATTCTGGGATTTATAATCATGATGTCCAGCATGAAGGTAAATGCAGCTGGTTTTGTACTCCAAATAAATTCTTCCTAAGTTCATTGCCCTAGGTTTAATGACTAAAGCAAGCGTGGGTGAAACTGAATGGACTTCAAGAACGCAGAACTATTCAGAATAGCTTCTTAGTCCTTTGTGGGGGTAGAAGTTACTCTGTTTTTTCATTATATCACCAAGATGACTTGGTTCTTTGCATATAAGATATGGGTAATTTTCCATGTTTGGGACTTCAGAGGATCTGTGCTAATCAGATTTGGTGGTGTCAAGGAAAAGTCCATTTTTCAAGTGTCATTTCTTATGCTGCCTTTCTGAAAAATTAGCAACCTGGGGTCAGCAGTGAAAAGGGTCACAGGCTTACAGGTTGTTCCCAGCCTACTTTAAAGTCAGTCCTTACAGGCTTACTTGGCATTTTTCAGAGTCTGTCTCTTACTGTATAGTTATTTGTCTTGTCTTGTGCCAAAGAAAATGTGAAACAGGTGGGCAACAGGAAAAAAATATGGCTGTTATCAATGAAAATGTAATGGACCTTTGAAACTTTTAAGTACTTGTTTCCTTTGTGTTAAAAATTGAACTTGAAACAGCCAATAGAAATTATTTAAATGAAACTCCCAGTAACTTTAAGTCAAAAGCTTAAAGTTAAGGAAACTAAAAGCTTTTAGCTTTTTAGTTTCCTTAACCGTCCCAATATTCAAGGATGCTATTTTGATCCTTAAATCTAAAAATTGATCTGCTTGTGCAGGTTATGTTGACACCCTCAGGTTCTGGATTTGGTTTTGTGGTGCGGGGGATTCATCAGACATCTCACCCAAATGATGTTCTAGTACCTTCGTTCCGGGCCTCTGCACTGGAATGCTGCCGTGGCAGTGTTTTCTCTCATATTGAAGATCATTAGGCCCATAGCTATTTTTCTTAAAATTCAAGCATTTTTGTGGGTGCCTGGACCACGCCTGGTCTTATACTTAGCCCTGCTGGGGGCCAGCAACAAGGGGTGCCACGGGTCAGACCTTGGCATGACATCACACGTGTTCTGGTGCATGCTCTGCCACATGAACTATTTCCCCACCCTTCAACCATTATTAACAAAATTAATTTGACATTTGATTTTCTGTTTATGGTGGCATAATTCTATTTTTTCTGTTTTACTATAATTTCCAGATGAGAGAAAATTACGATTAAGTTCCTACTACCTGCTATTGAGATGATCCAAAAGTTTACATAGAATTCCTTTAAATGCTACTTTACTTTTTCTTCTGGTTTTGGAGCCACAGTTGGATGTGCCCAGAGGGATGCTGAGTGCTGGGGCTCAAACCCGGGCCTCCTGCTTGCAAAGCATATACAAGGCTTATTTGCATTCTCAGGCCCAAAATGCTACTTCAAGGGAAGTTGAGTTGTCATGGTTCATCCTTTTATTAAGTAAATGTTATCGTTAGTGTACTGTGAATGGTGCTTCTCACAGGGTCGGAGCTACTAGGTACTTAAGCATACTGTGCTAAGGACTCACTGGGAAGGCAGAGGAGTTTTAGAGTTAGAGCAAGCTTCACATCCTTCATATGCATTCCTGTGCTTCCAGGCTGGTGCTGTTTTTTCTATAGTCCACCAAAGGAAGTGAGTTTTGAGTGGGTAGGTTAGGAGCTAAGGGAATGTTCACATGCCCTGACTCACCAAGCAGCAGACTTGTCAAGAATTCATTTCTACCATCTAACAAAGATACCTCTGCAGGGACCTGGTTGCTTCTCTATCTTGGTATTCAAAATGATTCCTTTTTTATTTTACACTTTCCTGACATAAAGCCAAGGCGCCACTGTTGGTCAACCCTGTCTGAGGGGCATGACAGGCAGGTAGGGGGGTGGCAGGGCCGCTCAGGCTGGACTTGTGCGTCTCAGCCGTGCCTTTGCTCCACCGTAGCTCCGAGCGAATAGCCTCGCTGTGCCTTAGGATCTATCCATGAATGGGGATTAAAAATGTATCTACCTCAAAGGGGGCTGTGAAGCGAAGGAATCAAACACTGTCAGGGTAAGCACCATGTACAAATGTTAGCTATTATCTCGATTATCGATCTGTACTTCAAAATCTTTAATTCAGCCAGCATGTATGAAAATGCAGTAGTGTGCATTATTGTTTGATGTGATTGTAAAATGCTCATATATTTAGAATGTTTTTTATAGGCATGCATTAAAACTTGACTATAAGCTATATTGTAATAACTCAAGTGTCGGTGAATATATACAAATGTATATAGGTGGTTTACCCTCATGACAATGGACAAGGGCTAATCTGTCCTGACATTTGGGGAGTAGAATTTCTGTTGAAATAAGAGGGCTGACTTCCTGGGTCCTTTTGCTCTTGGCTGCTTTGAGCATCCAGTTTAATTTCCTCTTTCACTGATTCTTATGGATCCAAGACTGACTTTTGTTACAATTAGCACGCAGTGTGGTGATAATGAGGGTCATTATTTTAAATGGTGTTGGATTTTTCACTTTCAAATTTGTTTTAAATGCAGTGTGCTTTTGCTTCCTAAAGTTCTTAAATTCAGCATACCAAAGTGTTTATGGAACTTTATTAAATCCACATCTAAGCATGCAAAGGTATAAACATTGGATGAACTTTAAGGAAGATTGATGACCGAAAACCTTCATATCCTTTTTGCCATTAAACTATGTTCTTTCCGGTTTTCATTTTTCTAGTTTCAACTTTCATTTTCCCAGAGTGTTGCCAGCATTTTATGGTAAATCATTAATGGATACGCAGTTCTGCCAGTTGCGAGTGTCTCTGGCCCAGCACTAGGCTTCCCCAGAACTGTCGCAGGAGCATTTGTACTGTCTGCTGTCAGGGGGAGTGTTGGGGCCCGTGTTGGGGGTGAGGTGCATCTGTGTCCCTGCCGACTGCTAGGTCCTCACTCCTTCCCCGACAGGCGGGCTAAAGTAGCTGTTGCTTTGCCCAGTTGAAGCTATTAGGTGCGAGCACATTTTGAATTATGTCTCCGTGGCAAACGAGACCTTTCACGCCTAGAAAATTTAGACAGAATTAACACAGACACCCCGTATTTTTTAGACCATTTACATGGTGTATCTTTCTTTCCTCCTTTTACTTTTAACCTACTGGAAATAGCCCACACGTACATAGCTGGGTTTCCCGGGCTTCCCGTGGTTTCGACCACTTACCTGTAATGTGATCTCTGATGTCTCATCCTGTCCTGCAGTCGTTGGTGGCCCCCGCCCACTCTGCTCTTCCTTGCTCTCTTTGCCCTTCACTGCCTTTTAGATAATAAAAACATTTCAGTTTGCCACTTTCATATATTATGATTTTTATTCTTTCCTCTTAGATCATAAAAACATTTCAGTTTACTGTTTTCATGTATCATGATTTTCATTTCTTTTGGTATCAGCTCTTTAGTGATAGCTGAGAAGCGTTCTTCATTCTTGAACATCTAAGAGTGACCTTCTCCTTTTCCCAACTGTGATACTCTCCCCTGCGGCCAGCTTCCCATACAGGTCCTGCAGGCGCTCTGGAGTGGGTCGCTCGGCTTCTGGCGTGGAGGGGATTTCAAAGTCAGAGGAGCTCTGGGACTCTGCACCGGAGGCAAGGAGGGTCAGGGATGCTCCGTCTGAGGCCGTGTTCTCCCCCGCACTGGGAGTCACTGGTTCTGCACCAGGGCCTCTATCTCCATCCTCATCTCTGCTTTTCAGATCAGAGTCAGTATCCTTTGGGCTAAAGACGCTTTGTTCCACATAAAAGACAGGAAAACTCCCTTTGATGTTTGGTCGGAGGCCACCTTGGTTCAAGGTGCTGGGGTCACTGGTGCTCTTCTTCTCCTGGGAAGATAACAGAACGGTGTCTGACTGGCTGTCCCAGCCTTGGCTGCCCTGCTCTGAGATATGCGTTGACTGAGAAGAATTCTGGGAAGAGATGTGTGTGGAGTCCCCGTCGGAGTCACTGAGCAGATTTGGGGACTGTGCGCCCCCCACCTCCGCATCCTCAGTAATCTCTTGGCTTCTCTTAAAGAAGGCGTCCCACTGCGGGGCTTCCACCTCAGTCCTGGGGTGACATGGGGCAGCACCCAGATCCCCCTGAGATGATGCGGAGGCTGGGGTTTCCTCCTCACTTTCACTGTTGGATTCCTCGCAGTCTACAAAGTTTGCACAGGGAGAGGCTGGCGTGCCCACTGTGCCTGGGGCCCCTGATGCAGGTGGGCTTTGAGCTCTAACAGCTACTGGGAAGACGTGAGGCGGCAGAGTCAGCTGGCCTGGAGCCTTGTGCCGTAGCGGTGCTGGCAGAGGATCGTCAAAGAGCTCATCATCCTCGTCTGTGGGACAAGCAGGCAGATGTGAGAGCAGCACAGGTAGAGGCAGAGATGCGCTCTGAGCATCAGTGCATGGGCTCACGAAGAGGCACGCGCTCTGTCCCCACCCCCAATATGAGGATTGCCAAGAGGAAGATCTCTCTTCTTCAGGAAGTAAAGCACCCTCTGCTTCAAAGAGTGAGCAATAGGCAGCCATCCTTCGGCCCTTAGAACTCCCCGGGCTGAAGAGAGCCCAGTGTTCCCCCGTAAGGCCACAGTGCCCAGCATTCAAGTCACAGAGAGCGTCTCAGAACCAGCAGCTTCGTTTCTTCACCCCTGCCCAACCAGGCCTTTGACCTTTTGCTTTCCCTTTTTAAGTTCTGAAGCTTAAGTTCATCAGGCAGGTTTGGAAACTCACAAATTTAGAAAAGCGTTTCAGAATTCTCTGCTAAAGCGAAAGGAGCTAGCTCAGTTAATAAAGCAGTTTTCCTTCGAGAACACGTCGAAGCGTGCTTAGTACGTGTATACTTTCCTTCCCAAATTCATGACGTGAAGCCCAAGCCACCGTGTATGTGCAGATGGGCTTTGGGGAGATGGGGGTGAGAATGCATGCTCCTCAGAGGAACGTGCCACCACCCGGTGGCTCCTGGACTGAGCCCTCAATCTGCCAGCAGTTCAACCTGGCCTCTCAAACTAGGAGAAGCAAATGTCCGAGCCCCCTCTCAGCTGTGGCACAGGTGTGAGACACAGAGGAAATTATCTTGAACCAAAATACCAACTCAGCCATCTGTGTCAGGAACTAAAGCCAGCGGCACCTTTCTCACTGTTCTCAGAGTGCTGTGTCAGGAAACTGCCTCTAACATCCTAACAGTAAGCAATCGGCTTGGGAACACACGTTCCTCTCACAGCCCAAGAAAATGCAAAGCTTGTAAGAGTTCTCTTCCTGCTGATACAGGAGGTCATTAAACACCGTTGGTTTTTTTGTTTTTGTTTTTTGCTTTTATTTGGGGGTCACACCCGGCGATGCTCAGGGGTTCCTTCTGGCTCTGCACTCAGGAATTACCCCTGGCAGTGCTTAGGGGACCATATGGGATGCTGGGAATCAAACCCAGGTCGGTCGTGTGCAAGGCAAACGCCCTACCTGCTGTGCTATCACTCCAGCCCCAAACACTGTTCTTTTAGGGTACTAAGAGGGCAAACATCAAATGGAGGAAGGCACTTGCCTTGCACGTGGCCGATCCAGGTTTGATCCCAGCCACCATATACGGTTCCCAGAGCTCAGGAACAGAGAGTTAGGAGTAAGCCCTGAGCTTACTCCACCAGGCGTTGCCCCAAAACCAACCAACCAACCCGAAAAAGGCTCTGAGAACCATAGTGCGGCTTACCCTGGACAGCAAGAGCCAGGCGCAGAGCAGGGCGGAGTAATGCAGGTTAGAAGCCAGAAAGGACTGATCCGACCTCTGCCCAGCACAGCAAGCCATGGCTTCTAATCGTTCGACCAGTCACTTATCTTTTTATTTGTCTCTTTCTGGAGGAGTTAAGATAACTAAGATGAATTCTCACAAAACAGTTCTAAGTCCTGGGTTACTGAATTTTTTTTTTTTGGTTTCTGGGTCACACCTGGTGATGCTCAGGAGTTACTCCTGGCTCTGCACTCAGGAATTACTCCTGGTGGTGCTCAGGGAACTATACAAGATACCGGGGATTGAACCTGGGTCAAAGTTATTTTTTTAATAATGCTTCCGTATCATTTCTGAGTCAGAAGCTTCTGTTCTGGACCCACAGACACCAGCACCATGGCATGTTCAACTGTACACTACTTTGTGAGCTTTCCACTGTGAGTCATGTGTGGAGCTTGAAAAACAAGTTTAAGTTTATTCTGACATTATTCCTTGTTATAACCTAAAAATGCAAAATCCTTAAAAGAGGAAAAACCATTTACCACTGAGAAATATGTGCTGAGATTCCTAAATAGTGTTTGCCTTGCATGTGGCCAACCCAGGTTCCATCTCTGGCATCCCATATGGTCCTCCGAGCATCACCAGGAGTGGTCCCTGAGTGCAGAGCCAGGAGAACCCCTGAGTAATGCCAGGTGTGGCCCAAAAATAACAAAAGAAAAAAGGAACAAAATATCTAATTTATTTTTCGACCCTGGGCTGGAGCGATAGCACAGCGGGTAGGGCATTCGCCTTACAAGCGGCCAACATGGCCAACCCGAGTTCGATTCCTCCGCCCCTCTCGGAGAGCCCCGCAAGCTACCGAGAGTATTCGATATGCCAGACACAGTAACAACAAAGTCTCCAATGGAGACGTTAACTGGGCCCGCTCGAGCAAATCGACGATCAACGGGAGGGCCTTTACCTTTATTTTTCTACCCTATGTATCATTGACAGTATAATCCAGTAATAATGACAGACTAGATTAATAGAGTATGTCAGATTTGTAAAAATTAGAAATTTGTAATAACCTAAATTATAACAAGATAACAAATTTTTTGTATATCTGAAAATTCATATATATATATATATATATAAAGATGCAGGTTGGCATTCTGCCTGTAAGCATCATGCAGTCTTTCCACTGAAACACTTTCACAGAAAAAAGCCTTGCATGAGCTCCATCCGGGAGCCTGGCCCTGTGGCCCACTGCCGCCTGCACATAACAACAGTCTGTCTATCCACCCGTGAAACAGCCTCTGGGGCTCACTGCAGTAGTGGCAAGACACAGCCCAAAGACCGAGAGAGGCTAAGAGAAGAACGACTTGCCAACTTGTCCTTCAGATTCTGAGCAGGAATCGGGCCTTAAAGCAGCAGCCAGCACATACGCTGCCTCACCACAGCGAACACAGGGAAAACTGAAACACAGCACGGACAGGCCAACCGTGCTGGGGAGGCCAGCGCACATTTGGGAGGCTTAGGGAGGCGCTTCCTGCTTCCAACACCCCAAAAGCAACCTCCACTACAGGAATCAATCCAGAGGGGTATTCAAAGAGCTATGCCAGGTTTTGTGGGGGAGAGGGGGGTTGAGGTTTTTTTCTCTTTTTCTTTTTTAGCAGTAGTTTTTTCAGGTTTTTTTTTTTTAAAGAAAGGAATCTAGTAGGAACAAAAGAAGGAAAAAGTGAATTGAGTGGATGTGACCCTGCAGGATGACACCAACTGGTGGTGCAGCCCCTCGCACCCCCATCACCTGGCTTCCAGCAGGAAGGGAGGAGGTGGGCCCGTGGGGGGTGCCCAGAACAGGCCATCTGCCATACCACAAGGGCCCCCTGGGGGCTCAGCTGCAGCTCCCCACACACTAGAGAGAAGATGCTCAGTGGAAGGCGAGTGCAGACACACACACATCCCGCACCCCCCAGTCAGGCTGCTGCAGCTCCTGGCCCCTGGGTGGAAAGGGATTCCAGACTAAAGGTCTCGATCCAGCGTGACTGAGCATGACACAAGAAGGCAACAGTTCAGAACATCCATCACCCAGTAAAATGACCAGATATGCAGTCAGACAGGAAAATGCACCCTCGACTAAGGAAGAAATAGATAACAAGCCTGGTCTTGCGCAGTAGTTTCTTAGCGAAAAAACACCTACAGCCCAGTGTAGAAGAAAAACTAAGGTGGGGTTTATACAAATTTGAAATTTTATATTTCAAATTTACCATCCAGAAAGTGAAAAACCAGGGGCAGGAGCGATAGCATAGCGGGTAGGGCGTTAGCCTTGCATGCAGCCAACCCAGGTTCGATTTTGATTCCCCGCATCCCCTATGGTTCCCGGAGCACCGCCAGGAGTGATTCCTGAGTGCAGAGTCAGGAATAACCCCTGTGCATCGCCAGGTATGACCCCCCCCCAAAAAAAAAGAAAAAGAAAAAAACTAGACTGGGAGAAAATGTGGACGCATTACTTGATAGGGACTTCTGTCCAGTCTGTGCCATAATTCAGTAAAGCTGGTTAGTGCCCAGCACAGGTGAGGGATATGGAAACTGCAGTATATTATACATTAGGCAGGTGAATACTACTCGGGTAAGAAAAATTTTAGTTTGCTGCCACCTGGGTGAATCCAGAGGGTGATAAACTAAGCAGCGTGGGGCTGGAGAGATAGCACAGCGGGTAGGGCGTTTGCCTTGCACGCAGCCGACCCGAGTTCAATTCCCAGCACCCCATATGGTCCCCTGAGCACCGCCAGGAGTAACTCCTGAGTGCAGAGCCAGGAGTAACCCCTGTGCATCGCCAGGTGTGTCCCAAAAAGAAAAAAAAAAAAAACTAAGCAGCGTGTGTCAGAAAAAAGACAAGTGCCAAATTATACTGCTCATGCAAATACAAAGCTAAGCAAGTAAGGATTGGGGGGAAGTAAGGAGGAACCTTACAAGAATAACAGGCCCCCCCCACCATTGTTGGGTGGCTGGGTCAGCGGTTCTGTTTTAACTATGGTACTGCTGGGAGCCAAAATGTCAGTAGAGCCTGACCTGCGATTTAAGAACTAATCTCTTCTTGGAAAAATGTTAAAATACATTGCGTAAGTTTCTGAGCTATGCGCAGGATAAGTGCCATTAGCCCACTGTTAGGGCTCACACCACGATTTCTTAAAAATCTGCATGCTTTGTTAATTCCCCATTTTGCCCACTTCCTCGTGTCATCAATTATAAAAGGCTAGCTTGGGAGAAATAAATTTGGAGCTTGATCAGTCTTGACTTGCTCCCATTCTTCTGTCTCTCTCTTTTTCCCACTCGTGCACCCTCTCCTGGTTATCCACATTGACTAGTCCCACGGGTCGGGGCATGGTAGCACTGTAGCACAATCCTCCCATTGTTCATTGATTTGCTCAAGTGGGCACCAGTAACGTCTCTATTGTGAGGCTTGTTACTATTTTTGGCATATCAAATATGCAAGGGGGAGCTTGCCAACCATGGTAAATCAATGAAAAACAAAATGAGTGAAAAGATTCAAAATTATTTCACAAAGGAAACAACTGGTCATGGGGTACTTTTAAAATGAAATTGTTGGGGGCTGGAGCAATAGCACAGTGGGCAGGGTGTTTACCTTGCACATGACCAACCCAGGTTCGATTCCCAGCATCCCATGGGGGTAATTCCTAAGTGTGGAGCCAGGAGTAACCCCTGTGCATCGCCAGGTGTGACCCCAAAAAAAGCAAAAAAAAAATGTTTTTTCAAGACTTTTAATTACTGAAGCTAAAACAAATGTGCTTTTTTTTTTTTTCTTCCAGACACTAGTAATAGACTTACTGTATCAGTCTTGGCATTGGCACATGACATGGTTCCATTAGATTGTAAAGGAGAAGAAACACACTGGCTATAGGATACCAGGCCTAGGATGACAGCCAACCTGTGTCATTTCCTTCGGGCCGGACCTTGGCACGCCCCTGGCTCCCTTAGGCTTCCTTTCCTCCAGCAGTAAAAGTGGGATGACGAAGCACACAAGGTGCTGTGAGATGGAGTTGCAACATGGACAAGACCCAGCGACTCATGCTTGGTGCCAAGTGAGGAGCGTCACTGGTCTGGACCAGCCCTAAGGCACTGCATGTTGCCCAAAGCAGTAAAAGCCCATGACGCAGGAGCTGCTCGGGACCTGACTGGGGCCAGGACACCACCTGGGAGGCCGTGCAGGTCCGGCTGGGGTTCCAAGCCCAGCTGAATGAGCCAAGTAGACACTTTGGGGCCTCTTCCCCTTCCTGGGCACAGACCCACTGGCCCAGCTGTCCAAGTGGCATGGGAAGCGCACCCTTGGCTTATCTCTCCTCTTCACTGCAAGATAAGAACAGCGATGAGGAAGGAGATTGCAGAAGAAACCCATGTGTAAGCCTGGCAGGTCGCCGGCACGCAGCCGCCAGCACTGACAGCATCTCCGCAGCGTGTAAGGCTGACAGGTTTTTGGTAGGGCTGCCCCAGGGCCACCAGGACCAGCCAGGACAGCAAAGCCCCTTCCACTACTAGCCACCCGCCTCGGGAGCCCTGTGACAAGTCTGAGAGACAGCGGGAACAGGCCATCCATGCAACTCTGCCCAGAGCACAGAGCCCTGGAGAGCAGGTGTGCAGGGAGCCCTGCTTAGGGTGCTCTCACCTGAGTCCGGGCAGGCGCTTCTGGCTCTCTTCAGCTTTCCCAGGGGTCGATAGCTGGGTGCTGTCCTCTGGGAAGAGCGACAGAAGGGCTTGAGGCTGAAACAGACACGGACAGCTGGGTTTTCCCTCTGGGTGGAAAACGGATCGAGGCATCACTTGAAGAAATGCAAATCTAACCAGATGGGGAGTCTGCAGCAAGCTGTCAAACTGGAAAGTGACGTTTCCTTCGTTTCACTACAGTGGTGCAGTAAAGAGAAGCCCTGAAACACAGCCTGGTGTGGGACTGTCCAACAGGATAAACAGAAGACAACAGGCTTCAGGGACAGTGTCCTGGCCGCTGCCCCTTCCTGGTCACTGAGGTCTGCTTGCCTCTCGCAAGAAACGCACAAAGTTGGTTCCTTCTTTCTAGCAGCTGAGAGGTGGGACTGAAGATGAACAGAAACAGCACATTCAGACATGAGGGGTTCCTACCTCTCCCGAGGGTCTTACTACCAGCACCGGCTTTATGCCAACTTCTCAGAAGCTTCAGCACTAGCAAGCAAGCACACCCCTGACCCCACCTCACACTGGCAGGAACCACTCACGTTTCTCTCACTTGGTCCAGAGTTGCACCCACTGGAATAACATTTGGAAATGCATTCACAGGACGGATGTAGCTTAAGAAATCTTTGATCTAGAGGAGAGGAAAACAAAATCGATCACGGCTGAAAAACACACATGCAAAATAAGGGTGTAAATCAGTTAAAGGGGAGCCAAGGACGAGAAGCAAAAGCTGAGCCATCTCATTCTCTGAGTGCGCCCCTGTGCACTTCAGGGACCCTGTACCAGCGCGACCATGGGGCCTGGGGACAGAGATACTGAAAAGTCCTTCAGAACAATGGAAAGACTAAAGACTCAAAGAACCCATATCTGATGTTCACTTCCCTGTCAAAGGTCACCCCTTCTAAGAAAAGGGAGAGAGAAGTCTTAGCTTAGTTACAGCCCAGAAAGCAAAAGTCTTACCCTGACAGTGCCAGCAGCCCCCAGGGAATGGGGAGAGACTGATTCCTGACCTGGCTGATTCGAGGGGAGCACCAGAACCACTGTACTCTCTGAAACCCCCTTTTTCTCAGAGGGAAGAGTCAAGATTTTTTTTGGGGGGGGAAGTGCACTCAATGGTGCTCAGGGCTTACTCCTGGCTCTGCACTCAGGCATCATTCCTGGCTGGCTCAGACTATATAAAAACATGGGGTACCGGAGACTAAAGCTGGGTTGGTCGCACACAAGACTGTATTCTCTTTCTGGCCCCATTTTTTTTTTAATCATTACTCAGGTTCAACCCTTTGAGCCACTGACCTGGCCTGCATACTGTTCTTCAAACGGCTTTGCAATAGGAATGTTGATCAAGATCCAGATCTGACTAGCACCTGAGGCAAGCCATGATGGGCGATTATTTCTGAGTACCTGCTCTTAGGGGGATTCACCCTACAGTGCTCAGGGGCTCTACACACGAGGCAGACAACACTGGGGAGACCAACAGCCCTTGATCCAGAGACACAGCAGTGAATCTCGGAAGATAGCAGCCTGCCAGAGATATCTCCAGATGCCGTACCGAGCCAGTTCTGCCAGGGCACCTCAGACAAAGCGGGTGCGCCCTCTCCTCCCGCTCCAGATGGGACCCCAGTGGCCACCAGCTTCCAAAAGGAAAACCCAGGTATGCAGGTTCAAGGACTAAGACTCCAGGCCACAGGGCAGTAGCGGAGATGGGTGTCCCTCTCCGTCTCCCGGCCCACTAGGGTTCCTGGCTGTCACGCCCACCATCTGCCTCCTGGTACCATTTCAGTGCATCAACGGCCTCAATCCAGAGACTCCCAAGTGAATCTCAAATGGATCAGCTCCCTACAGAGATGTCTCTGGACCCCAACCATTTACAACTGTAGAATTCCAGAAGTGATCTCTCACAATGGTCATAATAAAATAAACGATCTAGCATCTGACCCTGGCAGGCAGGCTTGAATGGAGGTGGGAAAATTCAAAATAGTGGTGTTGGGAAGTTGTAATGCTGGTGGGACTGGTGTTGAAATATTGAATGTAATCAATTAATGTGAACGACCTTAAAAAAAAACCCTCTGGGGACACGAAGCAGGTTCTCCCCACCCAGATTCACAACTCTAGTTAAAAATGACTGGAACACAGAAGTGGGGAAACAGATCTGCATTTAGGAAGAGAACCTCCATCAGTGTTTGGGTTCAAATAGGTGAAAGAGCGATTTCCTTCTCCACTTGTAGCCGTCACTCATCCAGGAGATGCGTCTCCTGAATGGCTATAGGGAGAGTCACAGCCAATCTGAAGACGTGCTGGGAAAGAGATGCCTCAGGAATCCACAGAATGGGGCTGACCTCCACTGACCCTGCAGACCAAGAGATGGACAAACTGACCGGGTAGTTGGCATCTTACCTCACTGTAGGAGGAGTGGAATGAAAAACATGCTCTGTAGGAACTCTCACCAGTCCTAGAGGGAAATGAGAACACAACAGACGGTGACTCATCAATCAGAATGAGGTTCTCCACTTCGAGCTTTCCCATTTCCCATAGGGAGCTGCCACATGGTCAAGAATGTCTTTCTGGGACAGGAAGAAATTCTTTCCAGAAATCTAAACAGGAAGTGTCTGTTCTTACAGACACTCCCAAGGACCAGTACCACAAAACTGTTGCTAAATGGTGACCCTCCTGGGTAGTCTCCAGTCTGCCCTCCTACCAACCGTCAAGCAGCTACTGGGCGGGGTGGCAGCAGGATCTTTAGTCTAAGCAGAGTCTAAACAGCATCTCCTCTGGGGCCAGAGTGATGTACAGCGGGTAGGGCATTTGCCTTGCATGCAACCGACCCAGGCTCGATCCCCAGCATCCCATATGGTCCCCCAAGCACCGCCAGGAGTAATTCCTGAGTGCAGAGCCAGGAGTAACCCCTGAGCAGTGCAGGTGTGATTCAAAAGACAAAAAAAAAAAAAAAATTTTTTAATCAAATAAACAACATCTCCTCGAGCTTAGCCCAAGCACATTTAAACAAAAATCATGTTTAAAGTCAATCTAGCTGCAAGCCGGGGTTCTCACTGAAGGCGTCTGACTTTCTTACCTCGCAATGACGTTTGTTTTTCTCGTTCTTTCTCCAAACCACATAGTAGATGGCTTAATGCTGATGGTACGAAGTGGGGTCCTATTTCTGGAGGTAATGCCACAGGGTAGTTTATTCCACTGAAAGTATTCCTCTGCCTAAAACAAGAGTCAGATGGGAGCGCAGATGAGTGTGTTCCATCTGTTTGCCGGCAGGGCCCCCAAAATAAGCACTGGTCAGTTTCTGGCATGAACCATCAAGGCAGCCAGGAGAATGGACAGGGGAGCGAGGGCAGGACGTTCAGGGAACAAATGACCTGCGCTTGCTCTTAGGAAGTGCCAGAGAGATCATGCAGTAGGGAGGGCGCTTGCCTTGCACACGGCTGACCCAGGTTTTTCGATCCCCAAAACCCCAGACGGTCCTCTGAGCACCATCAGGAGTGACCACCGGGAGTTGCAGAACCAGGTGTTATCCCTGGGCATTGCCACATGTAACCCCAAACAAACAAAAAGGTACCGGAGTAGTGAGAGCAGAGCCCCAGGGACCAGCTGTGAGGACAGAGCCGCCAGGGGCCCCCGCGAGCAGTGAACACGCTTCTTAGGGCACCAGGCACGCCAGCTCCTGCCTCCCGACCCAGGAAGTGCCAAGTGTGCCCTCAAGCCTCGGGTTCAAGTCGAGGCCAGCGGAGGGTGTTGGGGAGTCCTGGTATAGAAAAGGGAGTGATGGAGGACCCCTAGGGGACAGGGGTGGCACCTGGTTAGCTGGCGACTCCGATGGGGCCGTGCCCACTGCTCCACAAACAGGTCGGGCCACTCAGCTGTGGACAGTGCATTCAGGACACTGCTGGTGCCCCCACAACGGAAGCTTCGCAGATATACACAGTAGAGGGGAAAAAGCTGGTACCCCACTGGGGAACCCCACACCTACCCCCAGTGTCTTCCAGAACGTGGAAGACATTTCTTTCCCAAAGACACGATGTTTGGGCCAGTCCGTCAGCACCCCATTGTCAGCTATGTTTTGGTGGGGGAGGGGAGGGGTTTCCCCAGCAATGTTCAGGAAGCCCGAGGCCCTGCCCAGAGATTCTTGGCCAAACAGGTGGGGCATAAGGAGGCGGCATTACCCGCTCCTTGGGGGCAGGGGGGGCGCAGGGCAATGCCCCACGTGTTCTGTGCTTCAGGGGCTCCACGCCAGCACTTGGAGATGCTGGGGCGACCATGTGTGCTGGGATGGAACTGCGGTCACCACATGCTCCCAGACCCCTGTACTGTCTGTTTGCTGTGTGCCGGCCCAGTGGACCAGGCAGGGCATACCCCGCCCTGCATTTCAGGCCCTTATATTCCTTGGGGCCAACAGCTTTCGGGGCCATTAACAGACTCAGCGGCAAGCACTTCCTCAATTCAGAGGCTGCTGGCCACACACCCCACTTCTCACCCCACCAGAAGGCAGCTCAGCAGGAGGGCACCTGCCTAGCCTGTGTGAGAGATCATAAACCCAACAGGAAAAGGACAAACTAGTTTGTATTTGTCTCTATTCTTTTTGACCATAAATTCACGAGTACGTATATGTGTATGCGTGTGTGCACATAAAAAGGGGTGAACAGATTTCTCAGCGCAAGTTACAATACATAGACCAGGTATCGAAAATGATCTCTTCACCTGAGGGTCCACTGAGAGTGTCACACAGCAGAATGTTCCACGCTGTGGCCAAGGAATCCCCCCTTGGGGTCAGGGAGATATCCTACACTCCCCAGGCCCCAGCACTCCACTGTCCTCTGACCACCACAGGCAGCCCTGGAGGTCCCCAAACACTGCCCCCAGGGGGATGGGGTTCTCTAGCATCACGGTGCCGCCACACCCCTGCATCCTTGCATTGAGCCACTTGCCCTGTTGGCTGAGTTTCTGGGAGCCCCCAAAACTTAAAACTGAACAGATTTTTAACCTTCCTGAGGCTGGAGAGAGAGACAAGCAGGCAAGCCCTGGCTATAGCTGACCTGGGTTCCATCCCAACATAGCAAACGGGTCCCCTGAGCAGGGAGCCAGAGGAAGCCTGGGTGGGGCCTGAAGCCAAAGATGTTTCTTTTGGGTTTGGAATGATTTCACCGGGCACAGATGTGGCTCCTGGTAGAGCACATGCATGCCCTAGGCTCGATCCCCAGCGCCGGGAAAAAACAGACACTACAAAGACAGAACTGTGCCTGGAAGGCGCCCGGGCAATTTCTGCCCACTGCCCACAGGGTTTCGGGGCCCAGTGCTGTGGCACTCGCGTCTCGGTCCCACTCCTAGTACGCAAAGTGCCGCGTGTACCTTGGGGTGCCGACAGGCGTGGATCTGGGTGCCACGGTCCGTGGTGAGGTGCTGCAGGATGTCGGGCATGTTCCGGAACATGTCCAGTTTGTCCACGTGGACCTATGGGAGGCGCAGCGGCCGGCTGACATGAGGGGCTGGAAATAAACAGTCCAGGGGTAGCTGGGCAGGGGTGGCCCGGCCGGCCTTGGGCTTGCTCTTCCGGCATTTGGAGTCTGGGAAGAAACTAACCCCTGGCCAGCTTTGAAACTTTCAGGCATTTGAAGGTGTCAAAACTAATGTGTCAGCTGGGGTGATGTGGGGGGCACAGACAGGGGTTGGAGAGGGGCTGGAAAGAGAGACAAGCAGGTAAGCCCTGGCTATAACTTTCCCCAGAGTGGAAAGACAGCAGGGATGTAGCTGGCAGTGCTGGAAAGGACGCCTGGTGCCAGGGACCAAGCCCAGGTCAACCCTCCCGGCTAGTTTCCTGGCCCCCAATGTGTCACTTTAAAGCTTCTCTTCTGGGCCAGAGCAATAGTATAGTGAGGAGGGTGTTTGCCTTGCACACAGCCCACCTGGGTTCGATCCCCAGCATCCCATATGGTCCCCCAAGCGCTGCCAGGAGTAATTCCTGAATGCAGAGCCAGAAGTAACTCCTGAGCATCACCAGTGTAACCCAAAATGAAAAAAAAATTAATTAAAATAAATAAATAAATCTTCTCTTCTGGCTATTTTCAAAGGACAAGCACCTAAGCTATTTTTAAGAATGGCCGAAATAAATAAATAAATAAATAACCCATGGTATTCCTGTGTCAGAGTCTGAAGAATCTGAAGAACAGACCAGACTCTTGCCAGACTGCAGTGGCTGCTTTGGGGGCAGCGGGGGGCCGGGTGAGGGGAGGGTGGGAGGAGGGACGGGACAGGACAGGCCGGAACTGTACCTGGATGCCGAACTCTTCACTGAGGTTGGTGAAAAGATACTCATACCCGTAGGCAGCCTTGCAGTTCAGCCACACGACATGGGAGGGACTCCGCGTGATCCAGCTCCGGACCAGCTCAAGCATCCCATTCAGACACTCCTCCTGGCAGAGGGTCCCAAGGCCTTGAGCGCACTTTCCCGAGCATCCCTCACCCCCTGCCAGTGCCGGCTACAAAGGCCAGCAGGGACGGGGCCACCCCAGGAGACACAGCCCACCCAGACCCAGCTCCCCAGCACACATACCCGACTTGGAATCTGATAAAATCTCGGGTCGAAGAAGGTCGTATCTACGTACACGCTTTGGATGTCTTTCACTCTACAACAAGAGGAAAACGGTACTAAAGAACAATGTCCCAGGCACACAGGCTCGATTATCTCCCGGGGTCTCCATTCCGCTGAGATTCCGGTTATACCCACCCTACTGAGAAATGATTTCCATCCCACATGCTAGGGAGATTATGGCCAGGGATGTAGCTGGGTGGGAGAGAACATGGACTGGCACCAAGAAAGCAAACATATCTTTTAGAAGTGGGGCTGGAGCAACAGCACAGTCAGTAGGGCGTTTGTCTTGCACACGGCTGACCCGGGTTCGATTCCCAGCATCCCATATGGTCTCCTGAGCACCGCCAGGGGTAATTCCTGAGTGCAGAGAAAGGAGTAACCCCTGTGCATTGCTGGGTGTGACCCAAAAAGCAAAAAAATTAAAAAACTTAAAATAAATAAATAAAAAGTAGCACTATAACACTGTAGCACTGTCGCACTGTCCTCCCATTGTTCATCAATTTGCTCGAGCGGGCTCAGTAATGTCTGCATTGTGAGACTTCTTGTTACTGTGTTTGGCATATCGAATACGTCACGGGTAGCTTGCCAGGCTTTGCCGTGCGGGCGAGATACTCTTGGTAGCTTGCCAGGCACTCTGAGAGGGGTGTAGGAATTGAACCCGGGTAGGCCGGGTTGGCCACGTGCAAGGCAAACGCCCTACCCGCTGTGCCATCACTCCAGCCCAAATAAAAAGTAAATAAATAAAAAATAAACATATTACAAAGATGGCTTGGTGAAGTTCAGTCAATTCGTGTACACACCTCCCCCAGGCAACTTAGAGACAAGATGCTCTGCAAAGAACATTTCCTTCACCATTTCAAATGCTACAGTCCAGGGGGCCCGGAGAGATAGTATAGTGTAGAAGGCACTTGCCTTGCATGCAGCCAACCCAGGTTCAAACCCCAGCATCCCATCAGGTCCCTAGAGCACCGCTAGGCGAGATGCCTGAGTGAGAAGCCAGGAGTCAGCCCTAAGCATCACCAGGTATGGCTGCCCGCCCAGGATGGGAGAAGCATGCTGAAAGTAGACTATAAACCAAACATGATTGTCACCCATTGCCTCTTTTGCAAACCACAACACCCAATAAGAGAGAACAAAAGGGAATGCCCTGCCACAGAGGCAGGGTGGGATGGGAGGGTTGGGGGGTGAGACAGATATTGGGATCCGTGGTGTTGGGAAATGGGCACTGGTGGAGGGATGGGTATTTGATCACTGTATAACTGAAACCCAAACGTGAAAATTTGTAAGTCTACAACTGTACCTCATGATGTCTCACTAATAAAAATTTGAAAAAAAAACACCCAAGAAAAATCAAGTATTACAAATCAGTTGGATTTTGTTATTAGATTGTGTACTGCGGGGCAGGTCTGAAGAGGTCGCCCAAGGCAGCAGCTCCCCACGAGGGCCCCGAAGGCCACAGATTAGCTGGCTATCCCAGGAAGTGTCGGGGGAGGGGGAGACCCTCCGGGGACACTTGCAGCGGTACTCAAGGACCACATGTGGCACTGGGGATGCCACTAGCATCAACCCGAGGCACAGCACACACCTGAAGCCTTCTCCTTCTCTCCTCTCCTCTCCCCACCTCTCCTCCCCTCCTCTCCCCTCCCTCCTTCCCCCTTCCCCTCCCCAACCCCCACCCTCCGGCTCTCTCTCATCCCAAGTGTGACTGTTTAACTTCAGCACAGGAACTCGTCTGGGGAAGAACAGTGCTTGTGAGTACTCGGTCCCTCACACAGAGTCACCGGCCCACCTGCCCCCTGAGTGCAGATGCTCCATGCGGGCGGCTTCTCCCTTGGCCAGTCTGAAGTCTCCCGTGTACAAGACAGTCCCATTGCTGCCCTGGAATAAAAACCTGGAGAGGAAATAGATCTCAGTGACTTCTCGGTGCCGTTCCAAGTCCTAACGACGGTGCGCATGCAGCCCTAGACAGCTGCCTCCATGCGTGTCATGGCCCAGTCAGACACCGGGAGAGTAACAGCTCTGGTCAGGCCAGTCCCTACCACATGGGACACCAGCACCCAGGTGACCAGACATGCCAAGGCCACGGGAAGCCACCAGGACCAGCTCCCGGGGTGACAAGTTCTGGATTCACCCCCAGCACCACATGGTCTCCCATTCCGTCTGTGTGAGCCCTGTCCCCAATCCAAAATACACATTTCGACCTTGGCCTTGAACCATCAAATGTGACCTGGGAGTCGATTAAAGAAATCACCAGGAAAATAATCAAATCTCCTTAGACATTTTTCTTTCACTCTATTCTGGTGTTTGGGCCACACTTGATGGTGCTCAGGGCTCACTCCTAGCTCTGTGCTCAGGGATCACACCCAGTGAGCTCAGGGGACTGTATGGGGTGCTGGGGATAGAACCCGGGTCTGCTACGTGCAAGGCCTTATTACCCACTGTACTATCACTCTGGCCTCTCCTTAGTCATTTTCTAACTTCTAAAAATGTACTACTACAAAATAACACAATTAACACATCTTCCTAGAGAATAACATGGGGAGATAGAGAAGCCCCTTACATCACTGATCCTGGGCAATGAGCAGCCGGTAAGAGAGTCACGACCACCTCTTCTTTCTAAAAAGAAAAGAAAAGCAAGAAGGAACAACAGAAGTTACTTTGAGAGCCCAGCAAATAAAACCCTTTTTGGCTTGGCTCTGGTTTGGGGTCAGAGTAGGAGGTGCAGAGGGCTTACTCCCAGCTCTGTTGTACTCGAGGATCATCTGTGGTTCGAACCAAGCTAGGCTCAGTGTGTGCGAGACAAGTGCCTCAGTCACTGTAGGACCACTCCAACCAGTAAGTATACCCCTAATAGAGCCAGCCGCAGCTCTCAGAGGATACCACCATCACCACCACCCTCTCCACTGCCTAGGAACAAAGGGAAGGGATTCAAGGAATTCCTACCCCCCTCTGCTGATTTCATATGAGGGGCGGGGGGAGATAAGCAAGACAGTATGCCTGCAGGTGCTAGTGTGGGGAGTACTGTCTGCAGGTATCAGAGCAGTGCTGTCTGCAGGTGTTAGGGTATTGGAGTGTTGCCTGCAGTTGTCAGAGAGGTGTTGTCTGCAGGTGTTGGAGAGAGATGATTATTTTTGTACTACGTAACAATTTTTGGAACCACAGTATTTAATATTTAATTACCTCGCCCGATGCTTCATCAATTAAAGGTATCACGGTGGGACTTTCGATTTCAATCGATACCTGTTAAAATAAGAGATATGTGTGCATCGTAAATTTTCCAATTTCCATGACTTCAGATAACTTTTCTGAACCCCAGAAAGGCACAAACTGACAGCTGCCATTCTAAGGAAGTTTTACCTCCTTGGAAAGATGGCCAAATTAAAACTGCCTTTCTTGAGGCCATTTTTGTTTTCTCTGTGCCATATCTTTGTTCCTCTCTCTTTACAATCTACCTTCCAATGAACAGATGGAGTAGGGGGCATGGATATGGCTTAGCAGTGCAGCATATTGCTTGTGTGACACCCTGGGTGTGACATCCCAGCAACTTCTCCCAAATAAGTTACCAGTGAATGGGTCTGTTTTATTAGGTCCCACACAGACTTGGAGAGATAGTACAGCAGGTGGAGCGTTTGCCTTGCACATAGCAGAACTAGGTTTGATTCCTGGAACCACTTTAGATCCCCTGGATGCTTCCCAAGAATGATCTCTGGCACAGATCCAGGAGTGAGCCCTGGACACCACTGGTGTGCCCCTTCCTCCCAAAGGAAGAAGTTACTCTTTCTCTTTGGGGAGTCTTTTGGGTCCTAACCAGCAATGCTCAGAGTGACTCCCAGCGTCGTGTTTAAAAGATACTGCAAAGGGGTCAGACCCAGGACTCGACACGTAAAGCACACACTCCAAGGCCATTCAACCATCTCTCCAACCCCGAAGCAGTCTGCCTTTTTTTTCTGGTGTCTTTCTTTTCTCATTATAGCTCAATGGTTGTTTATTTCCCCCCAATATATTGTATCATCTAAATAAAAGAACTTACTTGGTTATTTCATAAATACTTTCTGCTTTAAAGAGTATGGTTATATTTAAAATGCATCTTAGCCAGAGCTTAAACAGAACTTAGAACGAGATCAAACAATCAGAAGGACAAGAAAAACAAATCAGCCAGAATAAAAGGAAGGGCTCTCCTGAGTTGCTCTTTTCAGAAGACTAAATGCCAATGTGGGCCTGAACTTAAGGTCCCTTTCACTCTCCTTCCAAAAATAGGCAGATCCCTCTTTGAAAAAAATCAAACTGTCATTCAGAAAACAAAACTTACAACTCGTTTCTCCCAAAATTTGTACTTGGGGCTCATTAGCAGCAACTCTTTAGTAACCGGTGAACAGTATAAGAAAACCTTCAAGCTGAAAGGGAAACAGGAGAGAGAGAGCTTGTCAGACCACCCACACCGAGCCGTCTGGGGATCGCGCACACAGGTCCCCGCACTGCATGGGGTGGTCCCACCAGGAACAGTGAGGGGAAGTTCTCTGTCCCTGGTTCCCTCCGGAGAGTATCCCTCTCGGTGGTCCTGCCGGAGGTGGGTCACGGTCAGCCCTTTGGGAGATGCTGCCATACCCTGAGCTACCGGAAGGACGGGGAGGGGTCCAGAAGGGGACGGCACTGGAGACATCTCACTCGCCTCCACCCTGTACTTCTCCCCACCGTTTCTGTTTATTCAGGGGGCAGAAACTGATTGTATAATAGACATTTATTTGTTTGTTGTTGGGGGGGGGGCTACACCCTGCTGTGCTCAGGAATCATTCCTGGCGGTACTCAGGGGACCATATGTGACATCAAGGATTGAACCCGGGTTGGCCGAACCCAGGCCGGCCGTGGGCAAGGCAAATGCCTCACCCGCTGTACTATCATCACTCCGGCCTCCTGGCCGCTTTCTAAACAGAGGTTCTTGCTCAGTGAAACGGTTACTTTAAAAAAAAAATCACAGAATCGCAAGGGAATGTGTGTGTGTGTGTGTGTGTGTGTGTGTGTGCGCGCGCGCGTGTGTGTGTGTGTGTGTGTGTGTGTGGAGGGGGGAGCTGTCCCACACCACATCCCACCCACCAGGCCCCCCAAGCCCAGAATAACTTGCCTGCACTCCAACCTCCTCTTCAAGGAAGGCGCTCTCAACCCTTTCATGTGATCTAAAAATAAAGCATCAACAGCAGAAACCTTAATTTTTCATAGAATCCGTTAGTTCAAGAAAACTGAGCCTGTTGTGTGTTTTGGTTTGCTGGGGTGTTTTCTGGAGGGGGCAGAGAAGGGCCTGTTCGTGTTAAGTGTTGGTGAAGAGAACTAGAAAAAGAACTGGGTGATGGCACATTCTTCAGCCTATGGAGACAGAAAGGAACCACTGAAAGGTGACCAGAGAGATGGCTCAGAGGGTTGAGGCACATAGCTAGTATGCGCAGGGCCTTGGGTTCGATCCCCAGAACCACAGTGTCCAGGAGCATGGCTGGGTGCTCAGGTCACCAGGCATCCAAAGATTACAAAGCACCTGCAAGGAAACGCAAAAGCAGAAGCTGCAGGGCTGAACGTGAACAGACCCACAGGGTTCCAGAGATACACTGACTGATGTCAGGAGGTCTGTCTCTTAATTCCTATACACGCTAACATGATGTTTCCCAAAGTCCTTGACACCTGGATCCTTTGCCCATTTGAGGCTGGTCTCTACTACGATGCCAAGCACTGGTTAGTTCAACTCCTGGGGTTCTCTTTTTTTTTTTTTTTTGGCTTTTTGGGTCACACCCAGCGATGCACAGGGGTAATCCTGGCTTTGCATTAAGGAATTACTCCTGGCGGTACTCCGGGTCCTTATGAGATGCTGGGAATCGAAGCAAGGTTGGCCATGTGCAAGGCAAATGCTCTACCCACTATACTATCACTCCAGCCCCTCTGCTGGGGTTCTTTTTTTTGTGTGTGTGTGTGATTTTTTTTTTTTTAATTAGTGAAGCACCATGAGGTACAGTTGTAGATTTGTGCTTGGGTTTCGGTCATACAATGATCAAATACCCATCCCTCCACCAGTGCCCATTTCCCCCCACCCCCCCCCTCCCACCCTGCCTCTGTGGCAGGGCATTCCCCTTTGTTCTCTCTCTCCTTTTGGGTGTTGTGGTCTGCAAAAGAGGCATTGAGTGGCAATCATGTTCAGTCCATAGTCTACTTTCAACATGCATTTCCCCTCCTGGGAGGATCCTCCAAACACCCTTTATTTGGTGCTCCCTTCTCTATCTGAACTGCCCTTTCCCCTAGAATACCCGGCTGGCCTCTAAGCTATGGAGTAATCCTCCTGGTGTTGATCTCAGCTATTCTTAGGCATTGATCTCATATTTTGTTGCTTTATATCCCCCAGATGAATGCAATCTTTCTATGTCTATCCCTCTCTTTCTGACTCATTTCACTTAGCATGATACTTTCCATGTTGTACCACTTGTATGTAAATTTCATGACTTCATCTTTTCTAAGAGCTACATAGTACTCCATTGTGTAGATGTACCAAAGTTTCTTTAACCAGTCATCTGTTCTTGGGCACTCAGGTTTCTTCCAGTTTCTGGCTATTGTAAAGAGTGCTGCAATGAACAAACAAGTGCTGGGGTTCTTAAGACCGCAAGATGCCCTACTTAAGCCCGGAAGCTACCCCACACAGCTGGGGTCACACAGGAAATGGGGGGCTGGGGGAGGTAAAGAAAGCCTGCAGCAGTCCTGAGGTTCTGCTTTTGTTGGGGGGAAAGTAGGGACTGACAGGGCTGCAAGGACTCACTCTTCACTGGTGAATTTGAAAGCGAAATGTACAGGACAGGCAGGGAAGAACAATAAGCTACCATTAGAAGTACAGCCGGGCAACAGTCGAAGTCAGCCAAGATCTCCACAGTAGAGAAGCCTGCCTCATGAGCAAAGGGGAGAAGGCAGCTGGAATAGAGAAGGGGTCACTAAGAAAATGATGGTTGAGGAACCAGTAGGGATGGGAGATGTGTGCTGAAAGTAGATAAAGGGCTAAACATGATAACCTCTCAGTATCTGTATTGCAAACCATAATGCCCCAAAGTAGATAGAAAGTACGGGGAATACTGTCTGCCATGGAGGCAGGGGGAGAGTGGGAAGGGGGGATATACCAGGGATACTGGTGGTAGGGAATGTGCACTGGTGGAGGGATGGGTGTTTGATCATTGTGTGATTGTAACCCAAACATGAAAGCCTGTAACTATCTTACGGTGATTCAATGAAATTAAAAAAAAAAAAAACAGATCTCCACAGTAGAGGGGCTGGGGAAGAAGCCCTGAGGCCTGGTGGAGAAGCTTCCCATGAAAGCTTAAATTCTGGGCCAGAGCTCCATAACGAGAAAGGCCAACTGTCCATGTTTACACTATCATCTCCAAACTCACTTCTCTTAAACATAAAACCCTAACAAGAAGGAATAGGAAAAAAAAAAAACTAAGCAACCCTTTCAAAAAATGGGGAGAAGAAACAACGCTGAAAAATGGGAAGAGAGAAACTGAAACGTTCCCAAAGAAGACATACAGATGGCCATTAAATACATGAAAAAATGCTCTGCATAATTTACCATCAGGAAAATGCAAATGAAAACAATGAGCTCCCGCCTCACCCCAACAAGACCCAAAAAGAAGGAAACCACCAGTGTTGGTTTGGATGTGCGGAAAGGGAACCCTCCATCCACTGCTGGTGGGAACATTGATTGGTTCTGCCTTTCTGGAGGACACTATGAACTAAGAACTAAGAACTGAGCTTCCCTGTGATGCGGCAATTCCCTCCTGGCATATACAACAAGGGTCCAAAATCCTATTTAGAAAATCTGCCTGCACTCCTATGTTCACTGCAGTACTATGCACGGTAGCCCAAATCTGGAAACGACCCAAGTGAGCTAAAACTGATGAGGGGATGGATGAAGCGACTACTTGGCTTGGAAGGGAAGATAAAGATCGTGCAAATTGTTGCTGAAGGGGAAGGTGCCCAGCGAAGTCAGCCAGGAGAGGCACAGAATGATCAATGGTCCCTCTCACACGTGAGACAGAAAGAAACCCTGGAGGGGAATAACAGTGGTCAAAGGCAGCAGAACCCGAGAACCAGCCCGACTTGTTGATGGAACTCCGAATTCAGGCAGGGTCTTAACACGAAAAAGCAGACGTGGGGATGTCCTTAAGCAGGAGATGAACCAAGAAAACCAAAATAAATGCGCGCCTTGGCTGGGGAGAGCGGCGCAGGAGCTGGGGAGATGCTCAGAGCGCGCCGAGGGGAGGGTCGCTGTGCATGCTCTACAAGGGGGTGGGGGTGGGGGGTGCTGGTCCACACCCCATGTGCTCAGGCATCACTCCCACAGGAGCTGGGCCGGGGGAGGGGGGGTGGTGACCACAATTGGTGTCGGGGATCGAGGCGGGGTGGGCCCCGTGGAAGCCACGCGCTTTACTCCAACGGCTCAGGCCCACTTGGGGTGCGCGCTCGCTTTGCATCACACCCCCCACCCCTACCCGGGTTAGAATCTGGCACCGCTGGGACAAAGAAGCCCCTGAGCTGCTTCTCCCCGGCGCGGCTGCAACTGACCCCCATGCCCCGGCCGAAAACAAAGCAGAAAGACCACCCACCCACCCACCCCCCCATCCTCGCTAACCAAACACGGAGACGGGGTTCCGATCCGCCTCTCAGGAGACCTGGGCGCTCTGACCCGAGAGCGCAGCTCGCCCCTCCCGGGCTCGGGCCCAGCACCGCGACCCCCGCGCTCGCTCACCCTTGTGGCAGTGCGACAGGAAGTAGGCGCGCGCCCTCAGGTTCTCCCGGTCGAAGCGGTCGATGGAGATGGTGGGGTACTCGGCCATCTGGCCCCCGAAGGAACTCATCGCGCCGGCCCGGCCGGACGCTGCGCCCCGAACCCCGAACCCCGGCGCCGCCGGCGGCCCGGGTCCCCGCGATTCGCGCCGACACTTCCGGGAACCTGCCGCCGCCCCGCCATTGGCCGGCCGAAAGCAGCCTCGTCCAATCACGGGCGGAGGGGCGGGGCCGAGCGACTCCTGGCCCAGGCGGGGCGGGTCTGAGCGGCGGCCGGCGGGGCGGGGACCAGGAATGAGGGTGGGAACCGAGGAGGCTGGACAGGGACCGGAGTTCTGGGCTGGGAAAGGGGGATGAGCAGGGGGCACCGGGGATGCGGGGCGGGGACCAGGGATGCGGGGCGGGGACCGGAGAGGATGCGGGGAGGGAACCGGGGATGCGGGGCGGGAACCGGGGGATGCGGACGGAGACCAGGGATGAGGGCGGTGACTGTGTAGGGACCCGACCCCAGGATCTGGGGGAGCAGAGCGGGAGGCGGAGCTGCGGGGCTGGGCACCAGAACGCCTGCTCCGACCCTCCCCTCTTACCCCAGTTGCGGGATGATGATGATGATGATGATGATGATGATGATGATGATGAAGAAGATGATGATGATGATGATGATGAGAGCACCCGTAACCGAGTCGTGGGCGAGGCCAGATTTGTAGGCCCTGTTTCCAATTTCTTTGCTTTTCGCGGACTTTGGAGGGAGCTCTCGGCCCACCTGTGCAGTGCTCAGCGGGCCGAGGGGCAAAGGACTCGATTTGGAGGCTCTAGCGGTGCGGGGAGATGGTACTGGGGTTATCCCCCTCTTTGAGGGGGCCACACCCCGCGATGCTCAGGGGCCTCCTGTCTCTGCACCCAGGAATCACTCCTGGCAGTGCTGGGGGAACCCTATGGGATGCCGAGGATCGACCTCAGGCAGCCACATGCAAGGCAAATACCTTACCCACTGCACTCTTGCTCCGCCTCCACCACCCCACACCCCACACACACATTTTTTCTGTAAAATATTACCTCTCACACTTCCCTCATTCATCAGACTCTACACCTTTTCCCCCTCCTTCCCCACTCTCTTCCCCTAGGAAATCGATTTACTAGCCACCATCTTACTTGTATAATTTCCTTATATTGTACAGGTAGTGAAAATAATGCACTATTTGTCTTTTATCTCAATCATTTGCCTTCACATAAATCACCTCGATTTCCTTTTTTTTTTTTTTTTGCTGGAAGTGACATTTTTGTTTCCTACAGCTAAACATTTCACTGTGCCACATTCTCACCACCCAACCACCTATGATGGGCACTTTTGAGTGTTTCCATGTATTGACTTTTGTGAGTTTTGCTACATAGACATTTGGGGTATGTTTTTGAATTCATGAGTTCATTTTCTCTGAAATCCACAGGTAGGGTTGCTGGGTCTTATAGTGCTAATCTGTTGTGTGATTTTTGTCATTGCTAGTTTGGTTTTTAGTCAGCCCTGCAGTTTCTAGGACCCAACATGGCGTCAGGGTTTGAACCCAGATCTCTTACACAGCTTCAGCCCTATTATTAGTGTTTGTTTGGGTTTTTTGTTTGTTTGCTTGAGGAAGGTCCATACTGTTTTCCAAAATGCTGCACTGCTGCCACTTATAATCCACAATAAATAAATCCTTCCTGCTAATCACACAGCTCAGAGGTGCTTTGCTAGGGAGGAGAAGTTAGGGTCCCAAAGAGGACTTAACACAAGCCTCACTCCCACAACCATAGTATTTTATAAATTAGGTTTGAAGAGTTAGGATGAATATGAGGGGGATAAGGAGATAGGAGATGGAAGAAAGATCTGGAATTGGGAGGTTGGGGGCGGTTGGGCCACACCTCATGACTTTCTTCTGACTGTGTGCTCAGGGATCACTTCTGGTGGGACTAAGGCGACCGTATGTGGTGCCCAGGACCAAAGCAGGGTGGACTGCGTGCAAGCCAAGGGTCCTCCCCACTGGTTTTCTCCAGCCGAGGGTTTGGAGTTTTTGAACTAGCAGATCAACATTTTAGTCCCCTCTTCTTTCCCCTTTTTGTTCTGTTGTGTTCTGTTGTTGCTGCAGTGATGGGGTGTGTGGGTGTGTTGGGGGGTCACACTCTTAGCTATAATAATTACAAGGGCGGGGTCCCCACACTTCCAATGCCGCTTGCACACTCTGGGCTATGTACCTGCCATACCACGCTATTGTAGCATGGGGGCCCCCAAGAGCAGAGCCACAGAGACCGCCAGCAGCAGAGGAAGCAAGCCCAGGGCGTCACACTGCCAGGGCGGGCACCCTGTCATCAGAGCCTACTGGTACTGACTGTACCCAATCCCCGTGGAGTGAGTCTCCGTAGGCAGAGCGATGTTGATGTTTTTAGTTACAAATGTCTCGCGAGCACTGACTGGGCCCCCAAGTTCTGCAGATCAAAGCGGAAGAGACTTTGCCCCGTGACCAATGATTGCCCCAGTGGCCAAGATATGCCTTCCAGTGCTTTCTTGTCCATCTGGAGGTCAAAATTGATGAATAAAACTCCTCAAGAAAGACAAAGTGGAATGGGAATGAATCGGGAACAATGAGTTCTGTGCAGGAGAGGAAATCAGAATGCTCCCTGGCTCGGGTTCAGTGGTGGAGCACCTGATGCACCTGTGAAGTCCTGGGTTCGAATCCCCGCCCTGCAAAACCACCAGAAAATCCATAATGCCACCCTCAGACGGTATCAGTATGTTCCTGCAATTGTGGTACTCGCTTCTATTAAAATATATGCTAGAGGAGGTTTAAGACACTTGACTTGCATATGGCTGTGGAGACTGGTTCAAACCCACAGTACTACATTCGGTCCCCTGCACACTGTCAGGACTCACTTCTGAGCAGAGCCAGAAATAGCCCCTGAGTTTCACCCAACATGGCCCCAAAACAAAGCCAACAGGGGCTGGAGCGATAGCACAGCTGGTAGGGCATTTGCCCTGCATGCGGCCCTGCCCGGGTTCGATTTCCAGCAACCCATATGGTCCCTCGAGCACGGCCAGGAGTAATTGCTGAGTGCACGAACCAGGAGTAACCCCTGTACATTGCAAGCAAAAACAAACAAACAAAAAGCCAAGTCAACAAAAAAAGGTAAATATATTCATTATGTAACATTTTTTAAAAGAGGGGAATGAGGAAGTGGAGGGAAAAGAAAGAAATAGAGGTATTGAGAAGAGTGGGAAAGAATTGACAGCATTGCAGCTGCATTTGAGTCAAGTCCTGTGCTAGATCCTGGGGCTAACCCATTTGTTTGCTGTGATAAATCAAGGGCAGGTGGAGGTGGGGATTATTATTGTGCACAGAATATATAGGAAGGGCAGAATTTGCAGCCCTTCTGATAATCACCTGATAATCTGGAGAATCCGGTGTGTTACCTCAGGCAGAGTATAGTGCCTGGCAAGGCAGTGACCAACGGCCCATATCCTTATTTGTTCACCTACTGGCTCTTTCTTCTTTTTCACAATGCTGTATGTAAGAGGAAAGAATCAAGGGAAGAAGTAAGAGCACTGGGCTAAAGGGGAAGAGGGAGGCAAGCACTCAGGAAAGAGTAAACATTAAGAATAGCCACGAGGAGGTGTGTGGGGGGTGGGCAAAGGCTGGACTCGGCTAGAGAAAGGCAAACATGGCCATTGACATCCTCAGTGCCCAAACAGCTAGTTTTATGTGGGTTTTTTTTTTTTTTTGCTTTCTGGATCACACCCAGCGATGCACAGGGGTTACTCCTGGCTCTGCAATCAGGAATCACTCCTGGCAATGCTCAGGGGATCCTATGGGATGCTGGGAATCGAAGTTGGGTTGGCTGCGTGCAAGGCAAATGCCCTACCCGCTGTGCTATCTCTCCAGCCCTTATGTGGGTTTTTTTTAATTTTTCTTTTATTTTTATAAATTTGTTCACAAAAGTTTATTACTTTTATCCACCACACTGTCTTGTTTGCCAAGGCATTGAAAATCAGATGGGCTGGACACATAATGCGATTTGGAGATGACCGCTGGACTAGAGCCATTACCAACTGGATTCCACGGGACGTCTAAAGATCATGTGGCCAGTCACCTACGAGACTTCATCAAGACCCTGAATGAATGGTTTGAGGCTCTTCGTGTTCCTGGAGCAAGCAGACGCCATTGGGCTACACTAGCATGAGACAGGGATGAATGGAGACGTTACTGGTGCCTGCTCGAGCAAGTCCATGAGTAACGGGATGTCAAGTGATCCAGTGACCCACAGGAATAAATCCTTCCTGCTAATCCCACAGCTCAGAGCTGTTTTGCAAGGGAGGGAAAGTTAGGGTCCCAAAGAGGGCTTAACACGAGCCACTCCCACAACCACCCTATTTTATATGTTAAGTTTGAAGGAAGTTACACTACACCTTCCCACCACCATGTTTTGAATGTTTCCACCTCTATCCCCAAAGCCGGCCCCCAAAGCAGGACCTAAATAATTTCTTTTGTATTGCTTGTTATGAATAATCCACTAAAAATAATCACTTAATCACTTAACTTCCCATTAATCGTCGATTTGCTCGAGCAGCCATCAGTAACGTCTCCATTCGTCCCTGTCGCGTGCTAGTGTAGCCCAATGGCATCTGTTCGCTCTAGGAACATGAAGAGCCTCAAACCGATCGTTCGTGATCTTGATGACAAAGTCTGACCATCTGGAAGGTGGGCGGCCACGCGGTCTTTTGACATCCCGTGGAATCCAGTCAGTAACAGCTCTAGTCCAGCGGTCGTCTTTAAATCTCATTACGTGACCAGCCCATCTGATTTTTGACACCTTGGCAAATGAGACAGCGTCCCTGATTCTTGATCATCGACGGATGTTGGAACTCTGGATTCTTTCTCTCATTTGAGTGAAACGTGATATTCCAAGCATAGCTCTTTCGATTCCTCTTTGGCAGACTCGAATAGCATTCTCATCCTGTTTGCGAAGGGCCCAGGTCTCTGAGGCATATGTTAATGCAGGAAGAACAGTGGAATCAAAGAGATGTGCCCGGAGCCGGAGGTTCTTCGTCCTC